TTCCTTCCTGGATGGTGAGATGGAGGATAATGCAAGCAGGGACAGAACCAGTGAGTCTTCTGGTTTTCCTCATTCTGAGTTGGGCTCAGTGAAGCTTTATCCCTGACATCAGCATTTCCCTTTCCTCTCATGGCTCTTTTGCTTCTAGCCACACAGCTTACATCTTTACTGATACCTGATTATTGCCTGGGTGGAGAAGATGCCGCTCTAAGAAAATGTCCTGTTAGCCTTTTGTAAGGTGAGCCCCCAAAGTAGCATTTAGGCTAAAATATCCTATTTTTTCTTCTCTTCTCTTCTTTTCTCCTCGCTCTCTCTCTCTCCTTTTTTTTTTTAGTGCTGAGGATAAAACAACCATGCCCTACAGGCATTCCATTGTTGAGCCACACACATCCTCAGCCCCTAAAATATTTCACCACTATGACCTGACACCTACGTAATTCATTTTGATATGATTATTTGGGATTTCATAAATGACCAAAGGGTGAATTAAGATTGAAGTGATTTTTTTTAAAAAATTCCTCAAGGAACGTAATTTAAACATAACAACTTACTTGAAACTCACATCTAGATTAATTGAAACTCTCAGTACAAAAATAGACTAGCCTTTGAGGCCTCCGTTCATCTTTTTGTGTGCCAAGTGTGACTGGTTGGGAAAGCCATAGAAAGAGCCTTTGGCTCCGTAGCATTGTGTTAGTTAGAGTGTTGCTACATGGTTGAAGGAACACCTCAGCCTTCCTGTGCGGTGGCGATTTCCAGAACAAGCTTCGATGACTACCTTGCATAGCGTTGCAAAGTCTGCCAGGCTCCAGTGGCTCACACCTGTAATCCCAGCTACTCAGGAGGCAGAGATGAGGAGGATCATGGTTGGAAGCCAGCCTAGGAAAATAGTTGCAAAACTGAATCCCAAAAAATACTCAACACAAAAAAGGGCTGGCAGAGTGGCTCAAGTGATAGAGGACCTGCCTAGCAAGTGTGAGGCCCTGAGTTCAAACCCCACTACCAGAGGGGGTAAAAAAAAACAAAAAAACTTGCAAAGTCTGCCTTGCCTCTCCCCCACCTTCTTATGGGAGCCTGTGTGTTCCCCACTTAGCAGTGGCTAGACTTCCCACTCTGTCCTCCTCCCACCCTTGGGGGGACCCTTGGGCTGGCCTGACCTGTCCATCTAGGTGACTCACCCAGGCCTGCCCTTCTCATGGGAAGCCCTGCTCCAACACCTGCTTTCCCACAGTGTTCCACCGATGGTGGGGCGTAGCTATTAAAGCAATCCAAATCCTAGAGCTTCCAAAACAGAGTCCCATTCCTTTCCAGACAGAAATAGGGCAGACTGCAGCCTGCACCCATGACACCTGCAGCTGCTGCCTGGCCCACCAGCCCCAGGTCATCCTCACCTCCTTGTGCTCTTCTCTGCCTCCATGCTCCCGTGTTCTCATGAGCTGGTTCAGGTCTGCCTGCAATAACCTGACCCACATAGTTTTGTGGGAAATCTACTGGCATCCCACACTTCATTATTTGTTTTATTGCAGAAATTTGGGGTCACCGTGGGGACGTGACTGTGCTGTGCTGCCTTCCACAGTCCTGCTGACCTGCTGTTGGGCCTCTCTTGTTCCTCCCCATGTGCTGCTGCATCCCACTGTACCCAGGGAATTCCCTACTCTACACAGAAAGGGCAGTTCCACCCACATTTAGGATGCATTAAGATCCCGTATGTACCTCAAATAGGCTTTCCAAGGGATTTCTCGAAGGGAGGACTACCCAGTGGGTGGTTTGGGTACAGCAGATAAAGAAGTACTCTGAAGGAGTTAGAGACACTCGGTAACGTGGATTCATAAGGCTGGAGCCCGAGGCCCGCACCACCGTGAGATGCAGGTGTGCACCGACTCCACGTGGTGGTCCTGTTGACACTCAGGAGGAGGCCACATGTGGAGACACCTCACCAGTGTGATCAGGGAGGATGTCTGAAGCCCCTGATCCAATCTGGAGAGGACCTGAGGCACATGGAGGCTGGTGCGCCTTCCTGCTGTGACAGAGGTCTGGGCAGCCTCCCTGTGCCCTTGTGGCTAAGCTCTGACCCCTACTTTGCACTGGGGGCTGGGGAGCAGCTGGGAAGGCATGGACACTCCCCAACACATTGACTTGGAGGCCACTGTGGGCCTAAGAAACATCGTCCATTTGTCTTCTCATTCTTCCCTGTGTTCCCAAGGGGGCCAGGTGGCTTTCTTTGTGACTTCCTGTGCAGTTGCTACTCCCTATGGCAGGACCTTTTGTGTACCTGGGGTGCTCGCTCTTCCACTTTCAGATCTATGGATGGGAAGTTAATCCACGGATTAACGAACGCCACCGTGAGACAATGGCCTTTTGATTCTGGGAGTGTCGGATAACAACCTAGATCTGGGTAGGAATCTTGGCTCTGAAGCCAGAATGCCTGCGTGGAACCACAAGCCTGTCACTCCCACGGTTATGTGGTCCTCCATGCTATTGATCTTCACGCCTTGGTTCCCTCACACGTTGTGCACAAGAGTATTCAGAAATGTTAGCTGTTCCTGTGACATCTGACACCTGACAGCTCACAAGCAGGTCAGAAAGAAAGGAAGTTCACCACACTGTGTGCATATGTTACGATTTCAGCGCTCTGCCACATTCATGTGGACGTTCATGTTAGGCACAGACTAATTGTAGCAGCGTAAGTGTCCGGGTACAGGTGGAGATGTAATGGTTGTGTACGGTAGGAACTGCGCTGGGTATGGTGGTGCACGGCTATAACCCCAGCGAGGCAGAGATCGGGAGGACAGTGGTCCAAGACAAGCCCTGGCAAAAAAGCCAACAAGACCCTATCTCAACAAATAACCTGGGCATGGTGGTTTATGTCTGCAATGCCAGCTACACAGAATGTTTAGTAGGAAGATTAAAGTCAGAGGCTGGCCTTAGGAAAACTTGTGAGCCCCTATCTGAAGAAATAACCTAAAGCAAAAAAGGGCTGGGGAGGCATGGCCCATGGTAGAGTGCTTGTCTAGCAGTGTGAGGCCCTGAGTTCAAACCCTGGCACTCTAAGGTGGGCTTGGGGGTGGCAGGTACTCTTTCATTTGCAGGAGACTTATAAGTGGGACAGTTGGTTGCCCTGAGGGCGGGTCTTTCTGAGCAGGCCTTATTCTCACAGTCATGGGGTGGAGCATCCTAGGATAGAATGTCCTAGGTCCCCGAGGAGGGGAAGGAGAGAGACAGAGAGGCGAGGCTGGCAAGTCCCACCACCACACAGCCCTGGACAGCTCTGTCTGGGCTTCACTAACAAGCTAATCAAATCTGCCTAACAGGAACACTATCCTAACCACATCCTGAAAGAGTGCAGGCCCCAAACACAGTAAACTCTTAGAAGACAGCTAACAGGTCCCTAACAATAAAGGAAATAAAACTTCAGGTGACAGGAAATGTTGCATGAGCAGAGATTGCATTATTTTGATTTATACATCTTGCTCAAAATACACTGGGTACCTATGGGGTAAGCCACTGAACACGGGAGCCCAGAGCTTCCTCTGCCTCTGGAGGACACCTGGTTGTGCACCCAGTGCTCACCTGGTGTCTGCGTCTCCCTGCCTGCATATCCCCCATTTTATTTGAAGCTACCCAGGTCCTCTTGTAGGAACTCGAAGTCACATCCCTCAGCCTCTGTTGCCCCACACCAAGTGAGTCCTGAGCACCCATGTCTCCTGCTCTATCGTTGTACTCCTCTTTATTGTTTTTATATATGCACAGATTTCCTCCAAACCCATACAGGGTTCTGCTTCTCTGTATTTATTCTGAAATATGGTATGTGTACAAATCCATGCAGTGTTTTAAAACATCTGCCACGTGAGTTAAGAAATGGAACGGCACAGAAAGGAGACTGTGGGTAACAATTGTGTACTATGTATTTCACAAAGCTCCAAGAAAGGAATTTGAAAGTTCTTATCACAGAGAAATGATAAATGTTTAAGGACACTGATATGTTTAACTGGATTAAATATCACAAGAAGAAAACCTGACACTAGCCCACTAGTAAGTATAATTGTAATGTTTGTATGTATCAGTAACATACATTTAATTTTTAAAAAAGCAATGGAACACTACCAGTACCTTAGAAACCCCTTTTTTGTCCCTTCCTGGTCACAGCTTCACCCATCTACCCAGTATCATGAAATTTACTTTGAGGTTCTCTAATCTTTGAGTAGTACCTTACTTTGTTTGGTCTTATGTAAATGGAGTCAGGTGCATGTAATTCTGTTTGACTCATTTCTTTAGCATAAGTATTTTAAATTCATCTGTGCCCTGCATGAAGTGGACAGCTGTCATTCACTGATTTTCACTGTTACATTGTACATGAGGTGGACAGCTGTCGTTCTCTGCTACATTGTATTCCATGGCTTGAACATACCAGGGTTTCCCTTTAAGAGATGGAATTGATACATAACTAAAATCTCAAAATGATGCTAGACAGTGAGCAAGTGCTTCATATTTTCCTTCCTTCTCTCTACTTCTCTGTGGGTCAGCTGGCATAGAGCTGACCCTCTCAGCTGGAATGGAGCCAGGCCACAGGTGTGACCTGGCTCTAGACCACCTCTCCCATTCTTCTGGAACCAGCAGGCATCACAGATGTCATTTATCCCTTCTGCAAGGGTGAAGAGCAGACCTGGTTACGCGTGGTCACAGCTGCCCACATGAGCCAGATGAGCGGGTCCGGCAGGCATCGGGTGGGAAGTCCGTCCCTGGGGAGGCTGGGGGAGTAGCAGTAACTGAACCTAGCCTGTGGACGTGGGTTGCTTCTGGTTTCTGAGTGTTCCAGACAGTGCTGCTGCCCTTCCCACATACGTAACACACACTTGAGAAATCCTGAGCGTCTGTCGCCTGGTCTCCCAGTGAGATCTGATTCCCGTCAGCAGTGGGTCTGGGATGGAAGGGACGCATTTCAGGCTGTATGGATGCCAGGTGCTCAGAACCACTGACCTCCTCCACTTGTGTTCCCACTGCAGGTTTGGCGCAGGTGCCAAAGTTGTGCATTTCCTGGGACAGGTCAAACCCTGGAATTACACTTACGACCCCGAAACAAAAAGTGTCAAAAGCGAGTCCCACGATCCCACTGCCATGCACCCAGAGTTCCTCAGCCTGTGGTGGGACATCTTCACCACCACCGTCCTACCTCTGCTGCAACACTTCGGCCTTGTCAAAGATTCCTGCTCACAGCCGAACATGGTAGGTTCTGCTCACCTTCCTCTTCCTTCAGGTTGTTCAGGGCTGCGCTCTGCAGTCGGGGCTCAGGCGTCTTTAGTAATAGTATTTTAAACAAAAGTAAGGTTTTGTGGAAAGAAAGCAGTGAGCATCTTAGACAAATAGAAGTAGCAAAAGTACATTATGTAGCAAGTTTCATTAGGTCTGAGAGCACAAGAAAGGTTTCTAGAGTTTTTCTGTCCATCTGTTCATTGTAACTATAAAATTCTTAGTCCATTATCACACAAAGATTCTGAGATTATTCCTAACCCAGAAGTCTGTAGAAAAAACCAACGTCCAGGCTGGAGCTGCAGCTTGCCTAGCATGTGCAAGGCCCTGGGTTCCATCCCCAGCACCACAGCGGGAAAAAAGAGAGTGCCCCATTCAGCATTTTAGAAATTGCTTAGAAAAACGTGTTTTCGGTGAAAAACCACGATAACATGAAAATACAATCAATATTTTTAGTGCTATTTTGATTTCCTATTTTTGTGTTCCTGTGATTACGTAGGATCTTGGGAAGAAGCCCCTCTGAGGTGGGGCATAATGCTAACACTCGCAGGCCTCTTCTGAGGTTTGTTCTGGGCGCACTGTGTTACAGCTGGGTATCTGAAGAAGTAAAGGGCGAATTAGAGTCAGGTAACCGCCGTCAGGATTGTGAGATAATCTCATCAGACTCTTCTTTTTTGCACAGTTTTGACCTCACTCATGTCATTCACTAGCGTTTGTGCCAAAAGACAGAAAGGAGAAAGGGAGAAGTACCCATCACATTCTTATTCTAGCTACTCTATACGGGTCATGGGATAACGCTGTACAGCACTTGCAACAGTGCCCAGCACACAGTAAGTGCCTAATGAAAGGTAGCTGTTTATTTCGCCCCTATGACTAGTCTATCAAGTAAGTACTGTCATTGTTAATGTCCCTTCTTTATAAATTGACGAGGCTTACAGAGGTCATACAGCTTATCATAGTTAGGTGTTAGTCTGGAATAGCAGAACCTGGACTCGAATCCAGAACTGAAATCCTTAGGAAGATTTGAGACAGACCTTGTCTAAGGTCTATCTCTACAGCCCAGAATTAAGTCTAGCACTGCTTATGGCAGGGGAAGGAAGAGGTACACTTTAAACACTGAACTGTTAGGTCTAGACCCAAGGGCCTTTGTCCTAGGGAGCTCCCTGTGGCTCATGGCCCGTGTGGTGTGTAGCAGAGGGCTCTGGAATAGCACCTCAATAATCCTGTTGCAAATGAAGAAGGCAGAGGCAGAGCTCACCAGAGGGAGGACTTATGCAGCCTCACCCACAACACAATCCTGTGACCAAAATCCTTGATGTTCTGGTGTATTTGAATGCACACGAATACACTCCTATGCACATCGACAAAAACAGGTATTCAGAAATGTGCCCCACCGTTTTCCCTGTTAGAAGCAATACCTATTTTTATCCATTCACCCTTTTTCTTCCACTAAGATTTTCAGAACCTGCTCACCTTCAGGCTTCCCAAAGGGTAGCATCGGTGTTCTTTCCTGACGCACTGTCGGTGTCCCATGTCTCATTACCCATCCGAAATGAGAGTCACACTGAATGTATAGCACTTTCCCCGTTTGCTGCAGACACCCTGCTCTTTCCACAAAACAAGGGCTGAGGATTACAAACCAGGGAAAGGTGACAACAGGCTTGGAAAGTTGTTCAAAACTAAGCAAGTTAGAATAGATGCTACTTGGAAATACAGCCTGGAACCACTAAGCCTTCCTTCTTATAATGTGACAACTTGAGTGTGTGCTGTGGCTCTTTCTGAAGCGTGGCACGTGAGGTGTCACTGTGTTTAAGTTCTCAACCTTTCCGAGCCCACACGGACTGAGTTGATCATGAGACTTGTGTTCCTGTGTCCTTCCATCTCACACTTTCTAATGAACTGTTTGCAGCTTGCAGACTTGGTCTGTACACTGGCTTTCTCTTGTGGCTTCTGTAGAAAGGTATGCAGAACTTAAACATTAACCCTAATTGCGTTGTTCTCTCAATGTTCTCCCGAGTCAAGAAGTCTTCATTTTCTTAGGAGAAACAACCATACGACCCTTGTATTTAGTTTTGTGTCTTTTTTGTTTGTTTCATGTAATTGTTTTGTTTTTGCTACTTTGCATGATAATTCATCCTGGCTTTCCTTACCTTCTTCAATTTGCTGCATTCTTCCAAATGCTGTGATTCTCAGCCCTCAAGATGCCTGGTTATGCCCTTTTCTAGGAGCACGTGTCAGGAGCTGTGTCCCAGCTGTCCCTCGCAGAGGTCCCAGCTCCACCCCAGCCTTTTGTATCCTCAGAAGAGCGAAAGGAGCGGTGGGAGCAGGGCCAAGCCGATTACCTGGGCGCAGACTCCTTTGATAACATCAAGAGGAAGCTTGACACATACCTGCAGTAGAAGCGCTGCCGTGGTCCCGTGCACTTCACTTTGCAGGCACTGTCTCTGATGTGTAGTGTCCAGAGCTGGGTGGAGAGAGGTCTGTTTCCATGGCCAGAGGCGTCCACTAACTCATCAGCTGAGGGTTTGTGGATAGCGGGCGAGAACTGGGAAAGGTATGAAGTGCTAATTCTGTTATGTGGACGGTGTTCTGCTTTGTCCATCCATCTTACACATCCTGATGAATGTCTGCAGCTTTCAGACTTGGTCTGTACACTGGCTTTCTGATTTGTGCAGCTGATCGTTCAGAAAGTCAGGTATGCAGATTGACACCATGTGTGATAAAGGAACCTGATATAAAGATACTAAGATGGCTCTAGAAACTCTTAAAATGTTACAGAACCAGGCTCCAATCCGTCTCCTTTAGAACGGGACGTGGTACCTATCCCCTTGCTTGCTTGCTTGTACCCTTCACTTGACCTGTATTTTAGTATTTGCCCAAAGGCTGCCAGAGTGGTAATTAATTCTACTTTCAGGTAACAGCAGCCTTTCCTAACACTGCCGAGGGATTCATACACAAACACACACCCCACAGATGGCGTTAACCCATTCTGTTTCCTCATTGCAGCTCACCAGTTTTCTATGCACCGTAAGACAGCATGCAGAAATGCTTTTGTTCAGTTCTGTATATCTGAAAAATAGCAGTGTGTTCTCTGATGGTAGCACTCTGTATGAAAAATAAAGACTTAATGTCATATCTTGGTTGTTTAATTAAGTATTCCCTACCTCATCCTTGAAAAAATGAGGTAACTTTTCATAGTATGTAGAGTTTGCCATAGTTTCAAACTAGTGTAAAGCCTGACACAGGTGTGTGCTTTGAAGTTTGTTATCTAAGAGACTTAACACTCATGTTCTGCAGAGATGGTGACAGATCTGACAGGTGAGGCAAAGTGACAGACATCAGTTTATCTGTCAACCTACGTTATGTCCCCACTAGCTATCTAGATAGAATACTGGAGCCTTGAAAAGATCATGCTGTCAGTCTCTGACCATACGTGGTAATTTTTCAGGACAGCTGGACCAGTACTGGACCCAGTACCGGACCCAGTACCTTCTCCTGATTTTTGTCCTAAATAACATTAAGTGTAGTTTATTAAAGTTACAGATGATTCTGGGCCACAAGGGGTGGCAAGCTAGGGAAGGGTGGCATCCAACAGAACCCTTTAAAACTAAGATGAATAACCCGAAGGAATTTGAAGGAAGCAGAGTAGAGCACGACTGTTCGAGCACCCAAGGCTTAACTGAGCAGATGCTGCGGTGGCTTTGTCACCTAGTCTCTGTAATCACCTCCTTCACCTCATCAATACCCAATGTGAGTACACATTTCCTATGGCCAAATGAATACACGTGGGCTCGGACACCTACAGGCAACAATGGCTGGGGCCACCATGGAAGCCAGTTTCCATGAGCTCAGAGGATCCCGAGGATCTGCAGAAAATGGGAAATGACCCTTGGAGACGAAGTAGCTACTGGAGCTGCGGAGAATGAGTTGCTGTGACCTCGGAGTACATGGTTTACCAAGCGTGCATCGCGTGCTATGGTACAAAGACCTCTAGATCACTTTAGCTAGTCAGAACTTTGCCTGTTGCCTTCTGGGCCCCTCATTGAGACAGATTTAAAATAGAGACTCACCTTCAAATACCTGATACCACCTTAATTTGTATGGCCACGCAATATGCATTCCAATAGGGTATTACAAGAGGTAGGAAACATAACATTAAATTTGGGAGCCAAACATTGTATTGTTTTGTGTTGTATTTACTACCTCCTCTTGCCTGTTTTTAACAGAGCATGAGAAATAAAGCCTGAAGGTGGAAAAGTTTACATCATTGACTTTTAAGATTTTTCTAAAATATTTAGGAAAGGCTATTAACTTTTAGAATCAGAACTAGTGCTATTTATCACAGAAAATAGCATACGACAGAAGTGAAGGTGTGTTAGGCTGTCTGGCTGGAAGTCACCAAGCCAGGCCGACAGCTTTCCTTCCCTCAGGGATGGTCTAATTAGGTGGGTTACTAACTCTGTTCATGCAAAGCTGCATAATTAAACTACAAAATCTTTTTCATGTAGCCAAAAATGCCAAGGATTACTTAGTAAGACCTATACGAAGGCAGAGCTCAAATCCTAAGACACACACCTGTACCATCAATATACCTTTTTTTTTTTTTTTTTGTGGTACTGGGGCTTGAACTCAGGGCCTCCACCTTGAGCACCTCCATCAGCCCTACTTTTGTGATAGGGTTTCCCAAACTGTTTGCCCAGGCTGGCTTCAAACCATGATTCTCCTGATCTCTGCCTCCTGAGTAGCTAGGATTTACAGGTGTGAGCCGCCGGCCCTTGGCTACCCATCCTTTTTCATCCCCATATTACCACTGGTGGGTAGAACAGCCTTGACCACAAGACAAACCTGTCCCACAAAGGCCACACCATACCTCTGGGGATTAGCTCTGTGCTCGATCAAGGTCTGTGAGTAAGGCATAAAACGGGTGCTTATCTTAATTCCTCTTATACTTCTATGTCCCTGTTGTACCCTTTGCAAGTATTTTAATGTGTTAAAAAACAAATATTTGATTTCTTACCTGAGCAAGACATTATATCTGTCCTCATGTTTTTTTGCAAGTCTTATCCAAATAGAAACAAACAGAACTTTGGCAAGTACTGTAAATAAAATGTGGAAAAAATACACCAATGCATTTCACATTCCCCAGCAAGCAGAAAGTTTTCACTACCTGGGGATGATTTCATTGTTGGTGGTTGGTTCATAAATGACATAGGATTATTTTCTCGATCAATCCTAGAGTTGTATTTTAAGGGCAAAATCTATGATGGTTTAGGGTACTATTTGTAAACATAGGTATCCTAAGTCCTTTTTTTCTTACAAATGAAATTAATTAGAATCAGTGTTTTAGATCAAGGCATTTTAAGTAAACTGTATAATTTCTGAACCAGAATTTTAATCATTTAAATTGAGCAAAATAAAAGCTGAGAACGAGTAAATTATGAGCACTTCAATAAAAAGATTATATAATATAAACATCTTCACAGAAATGAGAGTTAATGAAAAATTTATTTCCTTTAAAGAGAAAATAAATTATGGCACCAAGGAAGCTAATAAATTTTTGAAGTTTTTATTGATTTTAAATTCAAAACAAAATCCAGTTTGAAGCACAATAGGGATTACAATGCTTTGATCTACTCTACAGCTACTGTTTTATGCAGTAATAAAACAGAATCAACAGCAATACCATAATGCGCAGTCTTCATTCCAGTGGTTTATGTATTTTCTTAGGATGAATTAAATTTTTTTGTTTAACACCACTTAATATAACTGTACAGAAACAAAAGGAACTTTTTAATGAACTGCTCAAGTTACCCTTATATGCATGTGTTTAAAACATAACCATAAGCACTTGGGTCAGAAGCAAGCTGTCTTTGCCTTGACAGTGAGTTTGAAAGGCTTCACTGTGTGATCAAGAAGAGTAAGTAGACTGTGCGGGGTTTTGTTTGCTAAAGTCTGTTTACACTTAATCTCACTGGAGTTATCAGTATCCACAGAACCCAATACCACATTTCATGAGGTTCTGATCAACCTGAGTTTTCTGTGTAAGGACAGACCTACAGCAGCAGGTCAAGAACTTTTCCTGGCTCCTGATGCTAGGAGACAAAGCCCACGCCAATATTCCCTCACCCCTGCAGAGAGGTTTGGTCTTGATGAATCCTCACCTGTGGCCTCTGGGAAGATTCTTGCTGGCTAATCCACTGTCCCCTGGGGCAAGAGCCAGGGCACCAGAGCAAGAGCTGGTGAGACATCTGGCACAGCCCTCAGCTGTGCCCTCTAGCACAATGTTGCTTCAAACCTCTTCAGAAGTCTCTTCTAACATTGTAAATAAAGTTTTAGCTGTTCTGAAGTCTGTATTGTGGAGCATGAAACATCCATTGTAGTAATTTGGATTCAAGAACTTTCCCTCAAGGTACTAAAACCACTGATTGCCTAACCTGATTGGTGAATTTCTAGTTATTTTAAATATGACTCAAAGAGTCACCTACAGTTCTGTGGCAATTGACAAAACAGGTAAGAAAAACATAAGGATGAATTGCTGAAGTTCCAAACGTGAATTCTGTTTCTGAACACATGACATTTTTACATTCAAGATTAAGATGTCTTTAAGGGTCGAAACGACTTTGGAGGTCATCCAGCCCAACTTCCATCCAGACATCACCACGCCGCGCACATATAGCAGTCTTCTGAATTATAAAAATTTATAGTTATTTCCAAAAAAAAAGCTACATAAATAAAAAAGTATCTATTTATAGAAATCTCTATTTAAATTCCATAATTTAAATATTCAAATCAAATCAGGTAGAACTGCTTCCTCTGATCCCCACAGACTGTATTTACACCCTGTGTATACAAAACAATGGATGTAGTACCACTCAACTAAAAGGGAGAGAACAGGGCTGTGACACAGTCCCTAATTTGTTCATGAACATAAAACTGCAAGCCACGGATGTGAATTATCTCTCAGTGAAGCTGTAAAAAAAAAAAAAAAAAAAGAAAGAAAAAAATCACAAATAACTTGCTAACTTGGACTTTGGTCTCTCATTTAAGGTTAGTTTTGGAATGAAATTAGGTTTTTAGAAGTCCAGTAAAATCAGTCTCTCTCACAGTCTATACATGTGTGAAAAATTTACAAGGACAGTGAACCCACTTATCACAGTCAGGCTTTGGTGAATAACCAAGTATGTCTAACATAGAAAATAAGTCTCTACTGATCAACAGTATAAAAGCTTGGCCCTTGTTTAACATGACAGAGCTGAGTCCTTGGAAGGAAACACCCAACACAGACACTTGAGAAGCTGAGAAACAAAGCAACTTTCCCTCAAAAGGTTGGTTTAGGCCACAGTGTATAACGGAACTTATTGCTATCTGAAGTATCATTAAAAACAGGTTCATACGTAGCAGAGCCTACATGTCAGAAACACTTTTCACTAATACAAAGCAAAATGCCCCCTTCGGAAGACACTCTAGATCTCTCACTCCTAAGTCTAGTATTTCACTTGAAAACATAGTATCTGATCGAACTGACCTTACAAATCCCACCATTATAAATCAATTAAAGTTCTGATTTCGTTGATTTTCGCTTGCTTCGTGTCACTTGTGTTGGTTTTCTTCATCCCGAAGGCTCCTGCTGCAAGCTCTCTTTTTGTGTTCTGTATTTTGAGCATGTTTTCTTCAACAGAATCCTTCACAATGAACTTCAAAAAAGAAAAGGAGGAGGAAAAGTGAAATGAATTAAGTACTTTTTAGGTAACAATATTTGAATTCTTTAATATAAAAAGTCCTTATACGAACAATAAAAGAACTCTTTTTGAGAAGCACAAAGGCACAACAGTGCCCACTAAAAATGAAAAACTAAAGTCTGAGACATGGAATGTTGGGGTACGAGGAGTCTGCAGTCTTACCAAGTGTTACACAGCTCTGAAAGTAATTGATAAGAAGCTGTTAGTGCCTTTTTTTCTCACTACAGAGAGACTATTTAGAACATGTTAGAACCACTAGGCTAAGCTTCCTTTATCACCCAGGATGAAAAGTTTGCTCACATAAAAAAAAAGGCAGGAAGGACAGAAGTCACATCTTAGAACCCAAAACCCTGTTAAGAACATCACACACATAAATTATATAGGTACTCCCAACTACAGCATTAGCAAAATGAATTTAGTATTCTTCATAAAAAAGCCAAATGAGGGTTTTCCAGATGAAAGAATTGGGTTTTTATCCAGTAGTTTGTAACACTGAACAAAATGGAAAGAAAAAAAAATGTGACCTTCTTCTCAACAGATACTTAAGAGCATTTGATAAAATTCAACATTTAATTCTCTTAAAAACCTTGACTTAAAACCTCTTGCCAGGCACCTGTGGCTCATGCCTATAATCCTAGCTATGCCTATAATGCTAGCTACGTGGGAAGCAGAGATCAGGACTGAGGTTTGAAGCCAGCCCAGGCAAATAGTTCCAGCCACCCTATCTCGAAAAAACCCATCACAAAACAGGGCTGGCGGAGTGCCTCAAGTGGGAAAGAGCCTACCTGGGGAGTGTGAGGCCCTGAGCTCAAGCCCCAGTACTACAAAAAAAAAAAAAAAAAAAAGCCTCATTACTAGGAATAAAAGACATGTCCTCAACCTTACTAAGGATGTAAGAAAACATACTCAATGTGAAAGTATTCCCAAAAAAAACAGAACAAGCCTATCATTACTGCTACCAAATGCTGTATAGAAGTTGTCGTTACTAAGAAGCATCATAAACTCCACTGAACTCCACAGGAGAGCTAAGCAGATGCTCCCTGTGTTCCTGCGGAAACACTCCTCAGACTAAAGCCGTTCTCCAAGGAATCATAAATGTAATAAATCTTCAGAAACTATTTCTTAAATGGGACTTAGTAACAAAGGCCCAAATTTGACGAACAGTAACAGCAGTGACAACACAATTTTCAGAATGAATGGTAGTAAGAACACTTTATCCAATCGGATATCAGAACCTGCTTTGTGAAGCCACAGAATCATAAAGCAGTGTGAGAGCAGGAGAGGAGGGGAGCAGAACATTCTAGAAAGAGACCTGTATCTACATCTCACTAGAAGAGGATGGACTGTAAAACAAAGGTGACTGAACAACTGGGTCTTCATTTGGCAAGACCTGAAATTGTCTCACAAAACATAAAATCTTCCAGAAGAATCAGAAAAATACAGAATAGTTTTTAAAATCTAGACCTATTTTAAAAAGACTGACACATTAGAAATCACAAAAATTCTGAAGCTTTCTCATGACAAAAAGCTCTGAAGTTTCAAAAGCAAGCAAGAGCCGAGACTAAGCCATTCTAAGCACAGAACACCACTGAATGTCAATGTGTAAAGGAGGCTTTTAACTACAAATGTGCATTTGTACTGCAACTGAAACTGTCAAGATACAAACAGGCCATGCACAGAACATCTATGAGCAAACGTGAAGTATGTTCAGGATAAATGCGAATTCATGTATGCTAATTAGCAAGTAAACATCACAAAAGCATAAATTTCTACCAGTCTCACACATTACAAGCCCATTTGGGGTTTATTTGTCTCAGTAGTTCTGGGTATAAAATCCAGGGCCCTGTGCACGATAGGCAAGTGCTCCCAGGCCTATGTCCCCAGCCTATGAAGTATATTCTGAAAGCAAGTCGTCGTTCTCAGGTGCTAAGAATGGCTTTGCAGAATACTAAAATCCGAGACAAAGCAGAATGGTGACGGCCAGTGGGTGGGGAGGGAGAGATGGGGAGCTCTTGTTTAATGGGTACAAAGGTTCAGATTGATACAACAGAAAAGTGCTGCAGATGGATGGTAGTGATTGATGGTTGCACAATATTGTGTGTATACTTAATGATTAAAATAATGGCAAAGTGGTGTATTTTGTTGTATATATTTTACTACAAAAAAATGTGCTGATCAAAGCCAATGGCTCAAGCCTGTAATCCTAGCTACTTGGGAGGCAGAAATTAGGAGAATCATGGTTTGAGGCCAACCCAGCAAAAGTCTGTGAGACCCAGTGTCAACCAATAGCTGGATGAGGTGGCACACACCTGTCCTCCTAGCTACTGCAGGAAGAGTGAAGTAGGAGGATTGTGGCCCAAGCTGGCCTGGGCAAAAAGCAAGACCCTATCTCAAAAGTAACCAGAGCAAAAAGGGCTGGAGTCATAGCTCCAGTGGTAAAGCACCTGCCTAGCAAGCGCAAAGCCCTGAGTTCAAACCCTAGTATGGCCAAAAAAAAAAAGTCATTATACAGTGACTCTTCAATTCATGTTTTAAGAGAGAATATGCTGTAGGATAACACAAGTATAATGCTATTTATTTTTACAATAAAAAACTTCAAGTTGAGATTTATATGTCATTACATATGCTACAGACTCAGTGTCCATGATCAGTGTATCTTAAAAGTATTCATGAAGGAGAAGAAAGGTGAGCTTTCCAGTCTGCTCTCCGTAATTCTCCCTCGGTCATTGCATGTGTTTCTGTAAACCTGTGTTATTTAAAAAGCATGGTAGCATAATCTTGAACAGCTGATTTTAAGAACTCACTTTTGTGATGATCACCTCCTGCTTCTGGCCCAGTCGGTGGCACCTGTCGAAGCACTGGTCTTCAGCAGCAGGGTTCCAGGCCTGTAAGAACAGCAGCTCCCTGTTACGGCAGACACATGTGATACTATGCACTGTACCACTTCAGCATTCTGATGGAATTCAAGCACCAACACTACAAACAGCTCCCCGTCACCAAGACAGGCAGGCAGGCATCCTCCTGTCATCTCACTTCACTTCTAACACTGTAGGATATCTCTTATTGGAAATGCTTGGGACCAGAAGTGTTTCAGATTTCAAGAGTTTTTCAGATCTGGAATGTCTGCACAGACATTACCAGTTGAGCATCCCTGATCCAAAAATCTGGAATCCAAAACCCAACACTTGTTGAGTGTCCTGTCAGTGCTCAAACAGACTCAGACGTGAGAGCATGTCAGATGACAGAGGTCAGCCTGTGCCTAGTAAAGGACCAAAGAGATGGGTCAGGACCCAACAGAAATGTTTCCTGGTTATCATTTTAAAGTGACAATATGTATGCTCAACAGGGAAACAGGTCATGCATTCTCTCAGATGACTTAGTTTATAACAGATGCAATTCTTGGGCCCATTTATGGCAGTTTTCTCCCTTTTTGCTGGTCTTTGGTTTTTTTTCTTTTGTTTCCCTCCATTCATGAAATAAAAGTACAAGAAAGGTTTTATGAGTAGTCAACAGTCCTAAGTACTGTTTAAGACTTTGTTGATGCAATTTTCTGCATCTCTTCATGATACTGTTTTGACTTCAAAACTTAGCTAAAAAGGACCATACTCATGAGTTGTTTCTTAAGCTGAAGACTGAAATGATGACACAGTAATGGGAAGGGCAACCTAGAGACAGGTACTTAGTCTGCAAGGACAAGAGCCAAACTGTCAGGGCCTGTTGGAGTCAAGAGCTTTCACATGGGAACTCTGGGAAAATTCTGGGGACCGAAACAGGGAAGTTGTGGGAACATACATACACACAGGAAACAGGAACACAACATACACACACATGTGAACGACAGACTTTCTAACACAATTTATACTCAGCTGTTACCTTCTTTTAAAGTTTCCTTTGGACCTAGGAAAGGACAGCTTTGCTATTAACTTGATGCTAGTTAGATTTTGTGCTCTTTTCCAGTATGGAAGTCATGTTTAAGGATATACTTATCTCAGGATTTTCTAAAAATGTTACAAAGACCTTGTGTTTCACAAACATGTTGGGGGCAGGCAGTACTGGAGTTTGAACTCAGGGCCTCACTCACAAACACATTTTTAAGTTGTTAACCAAGAGACAAAGTTTTTTTTATGTTGCCTGTATTTTATCTAACAATCTAAATGACAAGCTAGTAATATATATAATGACTACTGGAAATCCAATTTATCTCATGACGATATAAAACTAACATGTAGGGATTCTGGAAGCAATCAGCTTCATGACCTCGTAGGAGACATGAAAATTTCTTATCACATGAAATTTATGTAAAGGTCAAAGATTTTCATGAGCAACTTTTAAAACAGTCTTACTTTTGCGGGGCTTGGTCTTTGTTTTAAAGTTACAAACAACATTAAGAAGGTTACCATATTCAGTGAGAAACAAGCAACTTACTACAAACCGCTAACACATTCTGACAGCATTTTTAAACCGTAACTACTAAAGACTGAGTCTCTGGTCTGCTTTATAATAATAACTATTCCTTTTTTGATAATAACAATCTTCTCCTTGTATATGAGTGTAAGATTTTAGGCAAGACATGCTACCTCGGGAATTTATTCTAAACTTAAAACTTCACCCACAGCACTAAGGCCAATACAAAGCAATACCATCATGACCTGCACCCAAGAAACTCGGCTTTATAATTAGTACTGGGTTGAAGAAGGTCACACTCAAAAAACAAATCATGGTACAAGCATACCACTGACCTAGGAAGCCTCACCAGAATAAAACATGTATCTCGATAAAATTACCACACGATGAATCCTCAGAGTTTCAACTGACAAAGTAAAACAGCAAATCTTAACTCTGTGAATGCACAAAAATAGCACAGGGCTACTCAAGCCCACATAGTGAACCCAGGACAAATTAGACATCAAAGTTATTTCCAGGTCCTGACATCCTGAACTGCCCCTCTGAGTGCTCAGGAAAATGAGTTCCTGGTGGATACAGACTCAGGTCACGTGGCTTGAGTAATGTTCAGAGTGAATTTTGGATCTCTGACCTCGAAGGCCTGCAATGCACAACCACAAGTAACTTCACCATATAGGCACTAAACTTCACCCAGAAGATTCCATTAATGGTATCCCTTTCTCAACTTACAAGCCTAGACCATCTGCCCCCACATCACCTATGACACATTTAAAAATGCAGTATTTGCAGTATCCAAAAGTCCTACATCTCTTATGAGGACAGAGGTTTAAAACTGCATGCAACCTAATTCTTAGGCACACTGCATAGACCTTAAGGCCACCAGCCCCATGACAGTAGCCACTTTGTCTACCTTATTATAAATAGTCATACTCCAATGCCTGGATCACACCCTGACACAAAGCTTGACTTGATTATATCCTACACTCATTCCAATGAATAGTGTTTATTCTGCACTCAAAGAGAAGTAGCATAGTACAGCACTACGGTCCTCAGGCACACAGAAGCTGACCTGTTTTGCATAGCACCTGCTGAGTGATGTTGGGCAAATTATTTTCTGTGCTTCAGCTTCCTCGGCTGTAAAACAGCGATAATATGTTATTGCCTTTCTAGGGATGCTATGAGGATGTCAGTTGTAAAACACTTACGAGAAAGCCCTCTATATACACATTTACTAAGATGCTGTCTGAAGTTGGTCCAAGAATTTTCACAATCAATTGTAACTATGAAGGTATTTACCAAATAGTATGTGCCTTTTATTTCTTTTGAAGGAATAACACTTTGAAAAGTCTAAGAAACTACTTACTTAGATCTATCTACTTACTGGATCCATCAAAAACACTCGAGAAGCTGCGCAAAGATTCAAGCCAACTCCACCTGCTTTTAAAGATAGCAGCATTATAGTTGGAGATCCTGCCTCAGTGTTTTGGAAACATTGAATTGATTCAACTCTTTTCTTTTGGGCCATGGAACCATCCAAACGAGTAAACACAAATCCTGAGGCTCTAATAGTGAAAAGAGACAAGTAATATTTACTATACCTTAGGAAAAAAAAAAAAAAGTGGAACAGCAGCCAATCTTAGTTTGATCAATTCTATCTTTAGTTTATTTGCGCAGTACTAGGTGTTGAACGAAGGCCTATGTGTGCCCGGTAAGCACTACAGCCCCAGCTCTCACTAACTCATTTATTTTTTCCTCACTAATTAAACAGATGTTTACTGAGCACCTATAACATGCTAGGTACCGTAGTCAAGTTTTTTCCTGATAAATTCAGAACTTCACATTTAAAATCCTCACTACCAGAAAATATGCTATTGTGACTCTGAATATCATGTTACATAGGTGAAATGACTAAAACATCAAATCAGTTTTGTCTTTGCTATCACATCAATCCACTTATATAAAATCCTTTTAATCAAGATGAAAACATCATGGAACTTACTTGAGTGGCGTTTCTATTAAAGACAGGAACGTTGTAAACTGAGAAACAACTAAACTTTTTATGCTAGGGTTCTTCTTTCTTAAGTCAATCAAAGCATGCATTAGCGCATTAATCTGAAAGACATTAAGGTACCCATTAGCCTCCACTTCAATTGGTAAAATACATCTGGCATTTCTAAAACTTTAAAAACTGTTTATTGTCATGTATTTGTTGTGCACTTTACTGGCTTCAGTGTGGTATTTCCACACATGCATAGAATGCACTCATTAAAGCACATTTTATTAAGAGAAAACTTCTGCCATGTTACTTAAGTAAAAAAGGAAAAGACTAATTTTTTAAAAACTAAGAGTGAAAGAATAATAACCTGAACTCATTTTCTCTTGCCTCTCAAATTCACCACTTAAACAAAAATCCAATAGCCACGAAAAGAATATTCAAATGCCAGGATTAAAGGTAGAATTACCATCTTTGTCACGTGGTATGTGCACAGCTGGGTACTTTACCTTTGAACTGGATGTCCACTCCATATTGGACTTTCTCTCACTGTCACACGCCAGTTCTTCTGGAGGACATTCTAGCAAATTGTCTCCATGTATATCATTTCTACACAGAGGGCATTTAGCATGTGGCTGTAAAAGAAAGAACAAAATATGAGCCACACTTATCATAGGAACAGAAAAAAAAATGCCCCAAGTTTTAATGTATGGTAAATTTTGTATATGTCCTCACACTAGCATTGTATTAAGGAGTTTTATTACACTCATGGATTTGGGACAGATCTGTGCTGTGAAGTCCAGGCAGTGTCTCAAACGCTGTGTGTGCATACATGAAGAAGGTGCAAGTCTGTGATCCTGACTTCCAGCAAGAGCTCAAAATAGTAAATATTATAGCACTTGCCATCAAGAAACATAAATAACCACTTCTTAATCACAGCAAACTATGTAGAACTTTTCTTCAGAAGAAGAAAAACCCTTCCTTAATGGCTTATGGAGCTGACAGTTCATAAAGCATGTAACAACTTATGAAGCCAACTGTATCTGCTAAATCCTACCAAGTTCATTCACGGCAACATCTACTCTTATCCATTTGTACTAAGATCAGCTAAGAAAATGAGATTATAGCTTAAATAATTAGATGCCACCACAATCAAAAAATGATCCAGAAACTAAAGCTACGTTAGCGATCAGTGCAGTGGGCCCCCTTGGCGTGGGGAGAGGTAAATGACAGGGATGTGTTTACTTCATGATCAAGTGCTACAATCTAACTTTTGCGTTTTCTACATGCTACATGTATATTTAAAATGTTAAAGAAGAAATACACTAGCTGAAAGACTGCTCAAAGTATTATTCTGCCTCAAAAAATTTTACCAAAAAAATAATCTGCACCTATTTTATCCAATACAACAGCAGACAGCCACATGTGTCACTTAAGCCTCTGAAATGTGGCTGAGCTAAACTGAGGTGACAGAAGTATAATACCAACTTTTGTGAAGACATTTTTTTTAAAGTATATACTTTATCGTAGTGATAATGCTTTATTTTAGATACACTGGGTTAACTTAAAATACACTGTTAAAATTAATGTCATGTCTATTTAGTTTTTAAAAATACAGCTACTAGGAAAACTAAAATTACCTGTGTCATGCATTATCAATGTACTCACTGGATGGCAGTGACCAGAACTAAAAGAACTAGGATCGCTGACCGTGGAGCAGTGCCCTATTGTGAAGAGTACTGCCCTATTGTGCAGGAGCTTAATTATGAGAGACGTAAAACCTATCGCAACAGTTAACTAACCACAAAAGATGCATTACTAAATCCAAGTGCAGAAGTCCTTATTCTCCCGTGGACCTGAGTTTTCATTTCATTAAGAAACATGTACCACTCCACCAAAATGAATCCATACTGAGCAAAAACTAACCTGCTCATTCTGAATGACTTGGCAAATGCAAGGTTTACAAAACACGTGTGCACAGTGTGTTATCACAGGAACTGTCAGAGAATCCAAGCAAATTGCACACTCCTCATCTGAACCTGAGCTCAGGATTAGCTTCATCTTCCTTATTAACTTCGTTCTCAGTTCTTCAGGAGTATCGTTTCCTAGAGAAAAGGCTGAAAAATTAATTTCAGAGCAAGATTTACAATATGACTAGACAAATTAATGCACATGATATATAAGGAAAAGTTTTGCTTCACTTTTTCTGGCACAGACAAAAATCATGAGAAAAAATTTGAAATTTTAAGAAAAACTCACAAGAGAAAATAAGAGCCAACTGATATAATGCACCTCATTCAGAAGCATCATTACAGTATCTGCCCATAAGGCACAGAATGAAAGGCAGATGCACTGTGGATTTCCACCTAAGGGTATCTGTCTCTGGAAATTCTGCAAAGATTCAAGTCTAATTCATTGGTGAGTAATTCTTGGGAATATTCCCAGTCAAGTCCACAGTATAAACAATGTCCATCAGACCACATGAAAAAGTCCTTACTCTGACTGAAAATCTCTAGCACGTTATAATGGTGTGACCCAGTCACAGTCCTTACCTGACGGGCCGCTGGAAGACACTGCGCTTGTAAGAAGATGAGTGTGGCAACAAATCTGTCGCAATCTAAGCAAGAGACCCAGGACGTCGGCATAGTGGGCAAGGACAGTCCCTTCATTGAAGTACCTGGAGACAGAAACGCCACAAATCACGAAATCCTCTCAACTTCTCCGGCAACCACTCCAAAACAAGAATGAGAAACAACAGCAAACCCTACCTTTAATGAAATGGAGGTCTGTAACAATGAAGTGCAACCTACAAGAAATGGCTACAGACCTCAAAAATCCGCCACATCACAGTTCTTCAAAATGCATGTCAACAGCGAAGGAAAAATGCATTTCTCATGTGCCGAAGAGTAAGGGCACACCTGGCAACTGAGCATCCCTGCACTACAAGGAGGGAAGGCAAGCTGAATTTGGAAATACAGCCGGCAGTGTGGTTCGGCACCTCACACTGGAGGCAACTCTGATGCTTCACTAATAAAACCTAGAACCCACTTGCAACCCTGAATCACAAGTAAACACACCATGACTTCATATGTTACAGATAAGCAAACACCCAGTCCAGACAGAACCCAAGAAACTCAATATTAAGTGATGATCAGCACAGAGCCAGGTAGTCATGAAAGAAAACTCACCAGAAAAATGTTGCCACAGAGCAAATAGAAATTATGACCAAGGACACTGCCATGACTTAACATCACTCATTAAAATGGTTCCGTATAAAAATATGCCTTAAAGCAAAGACAAAGAGCATTGAAAAGATATGGCAAGTCAATACAAAGAGATGAAAGATGAGCTCAGACAGCCTGACAGTGTGAGAGAGAAAAGCAAACTACCAGAGAAGGGAAGACCACACTAACCAGCATAAAAAAAGCAGCCACTAATAAAACCATAGCAAAGGATGTGGGAGAAAAATATAAAGAATTAAAATAATGCCTGTGAAAAGCAGACAAGACACATCTATGACACAGACAGAAATAAGACAGAATGAAACACCATACTTAAAGTACTTTTTCCTACTGAGGGAAGGAAAAAATAGGAAGTCATAGAATCCAAAAACATAAAGCCTTTAAGCCCAAAGATTTAAATGGTACCACATGTTCCAAGAGAAGCCAACAGAGAGGTGGAGGGATGAAGAAGGGAGAGAGAGAGAGAGAGAGAGAAAATCCAGTGGTACAATGTCAGCACAGATTCTGAAGAAAGAATGCGTGATGCAATCATTAAGTATCTGGGCAATCTGATAGTTAAGTATTAAAGTGACAGAAGAAAAAGCGTCAAATGGTGGAAAGCACAAACTTTAGAGCGAGACATGTGGTTCGAAACCTGATTCTGCCAATGTCGCTATTAACCTGGAAAGGCTGCTTCACCTTGGGTCTTGAGCCTCCTCGGCTGTAACACGCTTGCTACCTGGCAGGGCTACTGTATTAGAAAGTCAGTCCAAGTAAAGCCTTCAGAACACTGCATGCACTATGCTAAGTGCTGCTACCATTAGTAAAAATGACGACAAACATTTCCGAATTATTTCTGAATGTTATGTCCAAAACTGACCTTGTGACCTGAAAACAAACTGCTCCTCCTATAGACTTGTCTCTGGGGATGCAGTTCCACCCTTCTAGTCACTGATGTGAAAAGTCTAAGTTATAGATGACTCTTCTCTCTCATGACCCACATTGCATCAATCAACAAATTCTGATGGCTCTCTTTATCTCCCTACTCATGAACTTATTCTACACAACCTGAATCTGCATACAGTAGCCACTGATGCTCTTAAAATACAAGTCAGACTACTCCACTCTCCAAGCTCAAACCCTTTCCAGGTTTTTATCTCATAAAAAGTAAAAGCCAAAATCTTTGGAATATGCCCCAATGCCTTGAGCAGCCCTCGCCTACCTAGACCCCTCCTCAGTATTGGGACTTCTTTCCTCTTGCTTCTATTACACGGCCACACTTACGTCTTTGTTCAAGTTCCCAGGCACACTCCCAACTCAAGCCTTTACACTTGCTGTTCCCTCTGAAACACTTCTCAACCCAGTCTCTTACATCTCTGCCCATCTGTCACTTCAGTGGGATTCCCCTGAATCACCTATTAGGACAGCTTTTGCACTCCCCTATCCCTTCTCTGCTTGTTTTCCATAAAACTTACTCATGCTTCTTCCCATTAAAATATAAACTCTTTGACAGCAGGATTTTTGTCCCATTTTGCTGCATCCCAATATGTGTAAGTGCCTACTGCACATTAGGCACTTAAGAAATTTTGGTTGAAAGAATTTTAGAAAGCATCTCTATTACAACTATTTGGAATTTGGAATAATCATTCTTTCCTAACTCTAATTCTTACCAAACCAGCCTTGCACCTATCTCACTGAAATTTTTGTATTTTGAAGACTTTCTAGTTTTGCAGTACTGTTCCGCTTTCAGCTGTCTCCTATTCATTCTGGTCCCCACAAGCACACACACCAAACACACTTTCGATCAGACTAGAATTACTCACTTGCTACCAGTCCCTACTTCCTCTTAATCTATATCAATTCCTAGTCTCAGATTTCCACATTTTGTTAGAAGTCATGTTGACTAATTTCTCTACATGTTTCCAAAACTACACAGTGTTCTCCCACTCCAAAAACCTTACCTTCCAAACAACTGTAATCCTGGTTACTCTCCATTTCCCACCCTGTTCTCTGTGGACACCTGGTCTCAGCTCCTCACCAACGGACTCTCAGCATTATTTCCTCCCACGCTAGGCCTCATTTCCCTCCACCAATCTGCTTTATTCTCTCCTGTCCCCGGAGGCTCTTTCACATTCTCTTCCTGTTAAAAGTATCACACAAATAAAACTACCAAAAACCTGATCTAGCAGTCAAGTATCAACCCCACCTTCAAACTTCACTTTGTTTTTCCTTTTAAAGCTAAACATGGTGGAAAAATGTCCATTATCTCTAGTTACTACTTTTTTGTAATCCACTTCCTCTGGCAATTTGCCTGCACCTCTCCTCTGATGAAACTATTGTGAGAATTTACACCACTAGCTCCTGAATCACAAAGTCGAGCAACCCGCACTAAGTCTCTGTGCTCTGTGGCACTGCTGGCTGTTCCATCTTCCTTAGAAGTCTGAACGTGCATCCTTACCTTCACTATACTCTTCCCTTTGACAAAATCTCCTCTGCCGCCTTCTTTTCATCTTCTTTCTTAAATGTGCACATTCCCCTGAAGCTTTGGCCCTTGAAGGTTTATTCTCCCTTGTGAGCTATTCCTCCTTGGACATTGTTCTGATGTTCTCTATGACTCCCATAACACACGGTCAGAAATAAAAGCCAGCATGTTCTTCTGATGAGCAATTCAGAATGTACTATTTTGGATAAACTTTAAATGTTTTCCAGACTTAAGGAATTACTTACCTATGATTTCACTCACTTCAACTATTAATTTTTCTTTAAAAAGTATAAACCACATAAGATTATCTTTCAATATAATTGAAAATTTATTATAAATCTATCTGAAACATGCAACTCAGTTAATACAAAACAAAGAAAGAAATGGAAAATTTGAACATGGCTTTCTTCTTCCATACCTTCCAATAGTAGCTTTGCCTTCATTTTTCACAGACTGATAAATCTTTCTCTCTTCATCGGAGAGTGTGATGTGCTGGATGAACACTTTACGTTCTGGTAACTCCAAAACAGGCTTTCCCTTGATTTTGCTTGTTTTTGTTCTTCTAAGTGTGATGTTCTTAATTAGGGACTGTAAGCGCCTATCCAAAATACAACAGGTAATTATGTAACTTTTTCTTTCTCCATCAGCTCACCAAATGGAGCAAAAGAGGACTGCTGCATAACCTTAGTGAAGGTTTTTTTTAATTTCGTATTTGGAGTTTTATCTCATCTGATAATTACAGAGATACACTACTACCAGAGAATACTGCAGCACACACACTGAGATGTCCCCTCAGGACAGTTTCATCTTCTACACCCTGTATTTGAAGCTCTGTTCTCCACGTCCATCAACCCTTTTGTCCTGACTGTCCCAGTCCTGACATGCCCCAGTCAAAACTCAAACTCTTACCAACCAAGTACCTGTGAAGTTCAGGCGCTTTATCAAATGCTGTAAGGATGTAAATATGAGTAAGATCCTGCCTTCTGTGAGCCAAGCAAACCTTTCTCTTCAAAAGTTAAAAAAATCTTAGCCTCTCTACCATGATAATTAAAGGTGTAATATGAACATCACAGTTGTTTTATAAGGTAATGAGTGCCCTCCCCCAAAAAACCATGATACGCAGATTCAGAAGAGGAATGCCTTCCTGGTTCTACAATCTTTACATTTCCTTCTCAGTATTAGGAAAAAAAGAGGCATATCAATTCTTTAGAAAATGTTTTCCCTAACAATGAAATATAAAGATAATTCCTCAACAGAGCTTACATAGTTGGTTCAGATGAATCAAGTGGACAGCCTTGCTGAGTAGGATAGTGTCTTAAATTTTAAATCACTTTTACTGTAACTCACAGTAAGACACATTTTACTCCACCAGCAAACATACACACAGCAGAAATAAGGACTTCACAAAACAGTACTTTCGATGTTATTTTCTTATTTCTTTTTTCAATGCTGGCTACTACCTTTATAATGAATTTACAACCTGCTGGTGAGTCCCAAATCCTCAGTTTCAAAACCACTGCTCTAGACAAAAACTTGAACCACAGCAACCAAGCACATGGCAAAACACCTATCACCAAGTTTTCATTTATGTTCTCAACTTTTATCTCTGTCCACCAGAAACAAGCATCAAACTTCCTCACAGACAACTCTGGCTGAGGTCACTGCACACTCCATCACTCGAGCACTGCTACATAAATCTCTGCAAGACATGTGATGAAAATCCATTGTCTGTTGTCCTGTCCCTGCTCAATCTATGAACAGTGGCTTTGGGGGAACAGGGCTAACACATGAACACCACACAGTTCTGCCTTCCCTCTCGGTCCGGCTGAAATCGGAGAGAGAGGTAGTTATTGCTAAGTTTCCCCAACAAAGGCCACCAGATTCTGAGAGTCAAAGTCACTGAAACACACACATTTTTTGGAGTCAGATAACTGGTTCCATTAATTGTGGTTAATATATCCACTGTCATAAAATTACCCACCTAAGTCCCCCTTCGTCTCCCATCGTGACGGGACGTTGTATTGTGCGATGCCACCATTCTCTATCAATAAATGGTTTAAGTTTTAAAAAGGAAAGCAGAGACCACAAGTCCTTTAAAGAATTCTGGATGGGAGTACCTAAAAACAAGAGGAAATTGTTACTGAGCCTCACTGCCAGCCCCTGTTGTACCCTGTGGGCCTGGTAAGTAGATAATTAACAACATCCATCTTGCCATGTCCCAGAAACCACAGCTGGAAATGGATAGATACTCCGTGCCAGGCACACCACTATCCAGCTGTGACTGTAATCCTCTGCTCAACACAAACACATCTCAAAATACAGTTAATGTTTAGTCTTACTTGCTATACTAAGAAAAAACACAGACCCAGTAAATTCAACTTCCTCATTAGGTAAAGTTGCTCTTTTGGCTTTTAAATAAGCAAAAGCTACTAGTCAGTTTGTGTTCTCTTTTCTTCCTTCCAGTAAAGGTATCATGAGTAGCAAAATGCTCCAAAGTGGACAGCAGGAAAGTACAGACCCTGACTGAGCATCAGACTGCATATTCTTCCCTGAGGTTTAAGAGTAAGTACAGAAAACTAAAAGAGAGAGAACACACACACATACACACATACACACACACACACACACACACACACACACACACACACACACAAAGAATAAGGACAGTGATTTTTTCCCACAAATTAACTATAAACCAAAGACTGTTGTATCATAGACAATTATGAAAATCAAGTTAAAGCATTTTATGAAATTATTTCTATATGATTAATGATATCCTTAAAAGAATTTTTTTTAATTTAATGCAGGACAGCCACTTTCACCATTTTTATGCAACATAATGCTAGAAATCCTAGCTAGGGTAATCAGACAAGAGGGAAAAAAAGCACATCCAAATTGAAAGGGAGAAAAGTCAGACTGTCGCTGTTTATGGATGACAGGATTTTACATATAGAAAACACCAAAGATTCCAATAAAAAACTGTTATACCAGGGTGTGGGGAACAGGGAACCCTTGCATACCATTGGTGGGAATGTAAATTAGTGTAGCATTATGGAAAACAGCATGGAATATTATAAAGTTGATCTCATTGGAGGGAGAGTAGCTGGGAGGGGAGGGGGAAGAGGGAAGGCTGGCCAATGGCCAATGGTAAAGCAGATAGAAGCAAGTTCTGGTATTCTGTGGCATAGTAGGGTGACTTTAGGCAATGAGAATGTACTACACATTATTATTTTTTTTTTTTTGGTCAGCAGCTTATTTTTTATGATTATTATGCTGGGTGGGGGGGTATATTATGGCATTTACAAAAGTTCTTAAAAATATATCATAGTTGAATTCACCCCCTCCATCATTCTCCTTTATCCTCCCTCCCCCTCATTCCCGGAATAGTTTCAACAGATCTCATTTTTCCATTTACACACATGTGCACTATGCATTTTTTAAAAACCAGAAGGTAAATGATTCAGCAGATCTGTTTACCCTGATTTGAACATTATATAAGGTACTCAGGTATTGAAACACCACATGGTATCCATAAATATATATAATAGATATATCCATTTTTTAAATAATTAGAAATTTTTAAAGGACCCCAAAATTGAATGCGACAATTACCCGTCAACACCCATCTTCTTTCTGCTTCTAAATCCAGCACAGCTTTGGTCTGCTGAGCATTTGGATTTCGGATGGCATGTCCTTCATCCAGGATCACTCTCAGCCATCTTATGCTATGTAGCGGACTATCACCTTTAGTCTAAAAGGAACGTTCATATGCATTGAGAGCACAGGAAAGTAATTTAGCATGTTCACTTAATGCCAAATGCTGTTGACTCTTCACCATCAACAATGCCTACATGTACCACACATCATTGAACAAGCTCAGAGGAGGACTACCTCTACGACCAAGGAGACCACTGAAGAACCAGGCGCTACGTGTACTGGCCACAGTGCAGCTAAGAAGCAGTAAGCTTGCACTCGAACCCAGAGAGCTGGCTCTCTGCTGAGTCACTGCACAGGACAGACTAACAACAGTAATGACATCAAAACTGCAGTGGCAAGAACTACTTGCAGCAAGAACAACATTGCTGTCTTTTAATGAAAGGTACCTTACCAGAATACTGAAATTGTACAAGGTATTTTCAAAAAGTTTTAGCCAAACAATTGCAATTACACAGATAAACAATTAGACTCCTAAAACCAGGGAAACTCACTGATTATAGCTACCAAAAAAAAAAAAAAAAAAGCTTATTGACAAACTGAGTTATTAATCAAATCATGTAACAGAAGACAATTTCTCAGATTAAAAAAAAGAAAATAAATATACTTATAAATACTAGTTAAAATACAAATTTAAAATTCTAGGTTAAAATGTTGTAAATGGAAAATATTTCCAAGTTAGTATCTAAAGAGGGTACAACCCCCTTTTCTCCAAAGCATTTTAAAGATCCTATTTACCTTCTCTACAGTCTTAAGCATTTAGGAAGAAAAAGGGAAGAGTGTAATGTATGAATTTCAGAAACCTGAACCATGGTTCTTAAATTCAACCTTCAAAACTCTCTAAGAAGGGTGGCTCAGTGGTAGAGCAGTTGCCTAGCAAGCAAGAGACCCTGGGTTCAATCCTCACTACTAGAAAAAAAGATGAAACTAAGTACCAGCATACTTACTCCATAGTCATGAGTTAAAATATTGTATGTAGTCAAAACAATATCCTGTTTTGAAAGCAAGGCTGGGTCTCTAATACGATCAGGACCATAATAAACATAAAAATTCAAATGCACCTCTGATTTTATATGCTGTCCAAACTGGTCCTAAAAGAAAATTAGACATATTTTTAATAAGAAGCAGATAGGTATCAGGTTCAATGTGTACAGAAAGTGCTGTGCTAACAGTAGTGTCACAAATCAAATCACTAAAATTCCAGGAAGTCAATTTTCTGGTAGCCTAAACTACAATAACAAGGGTAATGAGGATAGCCATACTAATTGTTCTTACGGTAAAACTGACCCATCCACACTATATGTTACATGAATTTGCCCAGCTCTACCAATGAGTAGCTAGTTTTTTGTTTTGTTTTGGGTGGGGGTAGAGCAGGGTCTTGCTATATAGCCCAGGCTGGCCTTCCTGCCTCAGTCAACCAAGTGCTGGGGATACAAGTGAGTGTACTTTACTTTCAGGGGAAAAAAAAAAATCACCATCCTTCTTTAAAACAGAAATTAGCACTTCAAATTTTAATATTTTAATTAAAAGCTCTTTAATGCTTACAATGAGCTTGTAGACTAATAACAAAATTAAACATTAAGGGCTGGTGAAGCGGCTCCAGTGGAAGAGCACCTGCCTAGCAAACATGAGGCCCTGAGTTCAAACCCCAGTGCTGCCAAAAAAAAAAAAAAAAAGAAAAAGAAAAAAAGGATTAAACATTAAAAGAACAGTAACTAGAATGATGGCAGAGTGAATCTAATCTAATCTACTAGAAAGCAGGTGTGCCTTCCATAGTAAGCACACGGAAATGTCACAACTCGTATGTGCTGACAGAAACATTTAAAAATGAAAGAACAGAAATATTTTCAAGAATATAGGGAGAAATCTGAGCACTGTACCCACTCCTTCATACATTTAATGTGGGCCTACTAGCTACGTAGCATTGACCTCCACAGTGATGTGGCTAAAAAGGAAAACTAAGAACTTGGTTCTGCTCTTCTTGAGGACATAATCCATTTTAACATCCTGGTTTTTGTAATCCAGGAAAACAAGCTTGGAAGAGTTCAAGCAAGAAAAACAAGCACAATTAGAATGGAGAGAGAGGACACCAGGAAGAAACAGTTGGCCAGCTATGATGTGACAGGTGGCCAAAATGGGACCAGAACAGAGGTGAGAGAACATGTGTAAGAAGACATTAACAGAGGAGGGACTGGTGGAACTTGTAGACTAAAGACGACAAAGATGTTCTGATACTCAAATGACCATGAAGAAAAGGCCAGTGAGGAAAACACAGGGAAATTTAGAGATGAGGAAGAGATGGCATTTATCATTTTAAAGCACTATGGTGCCCGAATGGGGACGTCCAAGTAGGTGAGGTGTACAACAGCATTTTAAAGCTATCAGTAGACCTTACGTGACATCCAGGAGTAAGGATTCTCAAAGAGAACACGTACAATGAGAAAAGGAGATGGTCAGGCACAGCCCACCAAGAGTTCACCGTTAAGAAGCCCTTAGGCTTGCAGCAGGAGAAATGACACAAAGTCTGGGGTGTGATTATAAATATTCCAGCAAAGAGAAAAGGAAAGCAAATGAGGCAGACTTCAAGCAGTTCTTTAATCTTGCTCAGGAAATGAAGAGCTCATTAAAATTTTTCACAATACTTTATCTTTCCTGAGACAAGGTCTTGCCATGTAGCCCAGGTTGGCCTCCGAACCCACAATCCTCCTGCCCCAGGCCCTCCAAGTTGCTTGGGATTACAGACATGCACCACCACACCTAACTTTTTTTTTTAATAATATACTTCAAGGGAAAAAAGAAAATGGATTTTAATAGGAACCAGAGCACTCAGAAGCTAGGAAGATCATGAGTTTGAGGCCAGCCTGTGCTACAGCTATGTAGCAAGTCTGCCTCAAAAAAACCAGAAGCAAACAAAAAATGAAACCAAACCCAAAACAGGAACCAGAACAAAAGCAGAGTAACAGTGGTTAGAAAGTTAGGATAGCAAACATAGAAGATATGATCTGGGAACCAAAGAACATCAGTTTCAAGAAGGAAACAAGCCTGACTATAATTCCTAATTTGCACTCATTCTATGTACAAAGGTTTAGCGATGCCTTGCACAGCAAGACAACGGAAAGGGAAGCAGGTAATATACTCAGGGAGAGGCACAAGTGACACCTAGGCCTCCCAAGGTGTGTTTCTACAGAGGTGGTAGCAAAAACCAGCCTACTGTGGGCTGAGGAGAATTAAACATAAAACAGAAAGGCAAAAACACGAAGTGAGGGTGAAGTATGAAAAAATAAAGGCCAAAATGCAGAGCATTTCTTCAAGAAATCTGCTGGGGAAGAAATTCAGTCTGAGAAGCCTGAATGGATGGTGGCGATGACTTGGACAAAACTCAACTCTGTGGAGAAAGAACTATAGTTCCAGTATTTCTCAACAGATATCAGGCTATATATGTGCATACGTAAATGAAGGAGGGGTTTCTTCTTGAAAGGCTAAGTAACTATCTAAGTGAGTACCCAGAACTACTGCTGGTGGAAGTGGGATGGCACCCAGGTCTTGCTTATTTAACTGGATTGTTTTCCTTATTTTAAGACAAAACTAGTCAGTTTACAAATAGTCTTAAATTATACATCTTTACCATGGAGGGTGGAACACATGTAGCAGAACCAGGAATACAAACCAAATCCTGTATGATCAATTAACGTTTCTTTACTCTTCCTACTACAAATCTTCTCAATTACTTGCATTCAGCAAATACATTCCCCATTCACTTAGCAGATCCGGAATGATGACCAAGTGCATCTCCAGCAGTGTCCTCTCTGAGATGAATGTAAGTACCATCAAGTTGTGCGTGAAGGCTTTAAAGACTTACTATCCAGTTGCTCAGCACAGAGAGTGGACAGACGATCAGCGTTGTTCTTGGTCTCTCTTGAACCTCAGATTTCTTTGAACCCTCAGCCGCAGATGCTCCTACAAGAACAAACCGTCCACAAAACAGACTTTAGCTGTTCTTTTCCCCTAAAGTAAACAAGGTGCTTCCATGAAAAGAAACATCAAGAATTAAAAACTTAAAAGGACTTCCATCTCTAGTAACAAAGTTAAAAGGGACTGAATTTTGACTTGTCACTTTAAAAAACTAAAAATTCAGATAGTGCCCATTTATTAGAAGAGCCTGAGGATTACGACTTGGATGGGCACAAGAAGGCAATCTGTAGCACATCCTGATGGTCACAGTCACTGCAGTGAACACCTGTTTCACGCAGCTCTCTAATTTGTACGATACCTAATGGAGCAAACTTCAAGACAGACCCAATCATCCTGCTGTTCACACTTCTACAGGCCCCTTCCACATCCTACCAGGATTGGTCTCTGTGGCCAAGAGAACATGGCTGAAATTATTTATGTGGCTTACATTCCAACAGGGGAGACAACGATAGCCGTACACACAGAACAATGTCAGGTATTGGTAAGTACGAAGAAGCAATCAGGAAGTGGCCATGAGTATAAAATTGTGGGAGGAAGGGTTAGGAAGACTGTTGCTGCCTGTCTTAGGTAAACCACTGATTAGAACCCAAATGAAGCAAAACGAAAGCCAAACAAATATCCAGGGAAAGAGGGTTAGAAAGCAGTCCTTCGGTGCTAAAAGCATGGAAATCCTTATTTTCAAGAGTTTCCATCATCTAAACCTAACATAACGGTTCCTTTTGGAGAGCTCTTTACTCGGTACTTACCACCTTTCAGTTTATTAAAGAGTATCACACAAATTTCTGATGTTTAATTCAAATGTTTCATTGTTGCTTAACATGGAGGTCCTCTTAGCCAATGGAGTGACACATTGTTGTGTCACTATTATAAACTGGGATACAACGATACCCTATTTTCCTCTCAGTGTGACAGTTTACTCACTCAGTAGCCAGCTAATCTCCTCAGACTCAGCCACGCCACATCCACACAAACCCTGAAAAACCTCACAATGGCTTAAGGCCTTTAAGTTCCATGACTTGAGGATTCTGCTCCTTGATAGTAAATGTGACTTAACTGTCTAAAGCTTACATTCAGAGTTTGTTTTTCTGTTTTGTTTTGTTTTTTGTTAAGTTAGCTGAGCAAGAAATTCTGTCAAATAAAAACATTTCTCCTTGGGGGGGAGGGTCCTTTCAAAGGAGAGCTAAGTGTAACTTGAATCTATGTGCACCCCTGTCCCGACTTCTTGCCTTTTCTCTATCATTGAAGTGTTTACAGTGAGGCTGGCTCCTTCATCAGCCCAGGACAGAAGAGACAGGGAGGAGCGACACTAAGACTTAAAAATACATGTAATACTTTTAATAATGCACAAGCTTTTAATTTATGATGAAGTATGACAAACAAAAAACTGGCTCAAGTAGTAGCTCCTGACTAGCAATGTAAACCTGAGTTCAAGCCCCATACCACCAAAACTAAATAAATAAATAAATAAACCCTGAGCACACTATAATAAACATCCATGTGGTAACAACCTGCATAAACATTTACCCATATTTGCTTCAAGTTCATTTCCTTTGTTAGGTTTTTTCTTTTCTGGATGGTACCGGGGTTTGAACTCAGGGCCTGTACTTATTAGGGAGGGACTCTACAGTTTGAGCCACACCTCCAGCCCGTTGTTTCCTTCTTGAAAGAAAACATTTCAGTAGCTTGCACTGTGTGCCCTTTCGATGCACGTTTTTATAGATTTACGATGTCTGCTTACCCATACGACACCCGTGTGACTGTAAGCTGCACATAACACAGTACCACACTGTACCTATGCTTCATCCGACGTGCTTTTTCTCAGTGCTCCGTGTATGACATCTCTTACTGGTAACTGTGGCTCTAGTGTTCTCACTCTCATCGATCCACACCAGCATGCTACAGGAGGAGGCTGTAATTTGTTTTCCATTTCCCTACTGGAAAACATTTACGTTGCTCCCAGCATTGTGCCGAAACAGAGCTGTAATAAGCGTTTTCCATCTAACTGTATGAGTCTGTAGATGTACATGGTCCATCTTCAGCTTCATTACATTCTGCCTAGTTATTCTTCATGGTAATCAACACCCCCTTCTCGAGTTCTTCTGCAGCACAACTTGCTTTCCTTGGTACTCTAAGATTTTTAAATGCTTGAAACTCAATTTGCATTTTCCCATACCTGCGTCTGTAGATCTTTTTTTGCGTTTCTCTGTAAGGACTGTGCATCCATATCCTTCAGTACCCTATTAGGTTGTCTCCTGCCGACTAATTCGTAAGGAATTCTTGCAGTGTAGATTCTAATCCTTTGTATTACACTTACTACACAGACCTTCTTCAGCCTACCATTTTTCACTTTATGTGCCTTTTGATGCATGAAAATCTGAGATGTAGAATTTAAATATTTTCTAAGAATTTTTTTCTTTTTTGCGGTACTGGGTTTGAACTCGCATTTGCTCCATTCCACCAGCCCTCATGGATATTTTCCTTACGACTTTTTGTGTCTTGCTAAAAAAACCCACTATCTACCACAGGCCCAGCAGGCCCATGAATCCCTCTCTACTCACTGACTCCTGCTTCTATTCCAGAGATGTTTATTCTGGTTCTAACACAGCTGTGACACTTTAATGGTCTTTCCTGTATCACTGCTATGTGACTGCAGCAGAAAGGGGCTTCTATGCATGAACTTAATTCTATCAACCAAAAAGTTCCATATTTCTTTAAATTTCTAAAATTAGAGTCAAGAGTATCTGAAATTTCTAGTTTATTCTTAGGCCAAAAGTTAACTCTTTTTCTCATGGGTTAACTCAAATAATACCTTCGTAAACAGGCCCCCTCAATCAATCTTTATTGCATTTATTCGATTCTTCCTTTTCTTCTCACCCCTCAGCATTTAACATTACATATTTACTTATCTGCTGTCTGTCCCCACTGGTGCGTTAAAGACCCATGAGCACAGACTTTGCCCTATGTCCATCATTTAAGAGACCCAGTGCAGGGACATCGTTTGTCCTGGATCTTTAACCTTAGTTCTCTCTCTTCTAACCTCAAATGTGTACACTCTTAAACACTGCTGTTTTCCTATACTGCTGTTTTCCTACGCACTACAAAACACAAAACTAGGATAAAAGTAAGTGATAGAAGGTTAATGTGATTAACATACAATGTACACATGTGTGAGATACCACGGTGAAACCCTCTTGAACAATCAATCTGCACATAAGAAAATGAAATCAGGAAGGTAAAATCAGGTCCTGCTTAGGGGTGGAAACCAGTGGAAGGGAGAGGGTAAATGGAGAGGGTGAATACAGTGGATGTATTTTGTATTTATGTATGAAAATAAAATGAAATCTGTTGAAACTATTCTAAGAAGGGGGTGGAGGGGAGGGAGAAGGGGGTGGAGGGTGAACTAACTAAGATATATTGGAAGTACATGTGAAAACGGCGCAACGCCCCCAACAACTATTACATGTTACAAAAAAGTTCTAATAAAGATCACTAACATTCCCAAATGAAAAGCAAATTCTAATACTCCAAATTAAATCCTTACTACAATTTAATCCAAATTAAGCTAAGCTTTAAGTAACTATAAGTTATTTTGTGCCTTCACTAGAAGAAATACCTTTGCTGCTCAAGAGAAAGAACAGAAAGAACCCCCATGATATTTTGGCCTTTGTAAAGCAAGCGCAGTAAACAAAGCACAAGACATAGTTCTTTTCCTTTTTGCTACTTCCTAAACTTCTTGGAGTATGATTTTTCTAACTTGTGCGATTTCACTTTTTTTCATTGAAAGAGAAAAAACAAAATAAAAGGTAACAGTAGCAGACCACCTGACCTTTCTTCACCACTTTCTTCTTTGCCATGGAGGCAGACGAAGCTATCGCACGTGCAAAGGCACCGTCTTCTTTCACCTTAGAAGGCCCTGCTGAAAGAAAAGAATCGCAATCATGAAGATGTTCTCAGATTCTGTCTTTCCTGAGCTTAGGGACAGGCACTTTCTGAGGACGGGAAATGCAATACAACTTCTACAGTCCCTATTTTAACAGATTACTAAATAAAAGTACTACTTGGTAATCAAAACTGCCACCTCTGATACTAAGCACATCTCTCCAACTCAGAGCAGTAATGTAAGCAGCCACTCTAGGGCTGCTGGTTCTTCTGAGGAAAAGAAGTGAGAGGGGCAGCAGGCACTCGCAAAGTGATTTGGCTCTCAGAAAAACAATCTCTCAAGGAAACAGGTGTTTGACTCCTAGTGATAAGGCTGCCAAATTTTCAGATTAGTTCTATAGTAGTGATCAGTTATTTTCCATATGTAATACAATTTCTCAACTAACAGGAATACAATATGGTCTGCATTAAAGGAAAATAAAGTATGCTTTAAAGGAAAAGATGACAATGATTATTTTTACAACTGTGTAATAAGGTGAATACTGGCAAGAAGGCACACCAAGCTAACTTTGTTAATTGCTATCTATGCATAGGATATACTGTCTTATTGAAGCTGTAAGTGTTAAAAAGTATATTGTCCGTTAGATTTTAATTTAAACTATTCATTGAATGTGCTTTGTCTAATACATATGCTTAAGTTCCGTGAAGAATTAGACATGCAAATCAGCAGGGTTTTACTTTAATAATCTCTAAGTATGGATAATGACTATGGAGAAGTATAATACACATACCTTTTACCCTACTTTTAGTCTCTGATGGCACATTTTTCAGTCTGCCTAAAATCCAAACCAGAAAACACATAAAAATGGCACACTAGAAATAAGAATAAAGGATACATTACCAAACCAAATGTCTACACGTTACCTTTCATTTTCTGTGGCAACTCGTTTGTCTCAATGTCCTCAGAGTCACTGCTTTCAATGTACTGGACAGCAATTTTTCTTCTAAAATTAAGTGCACATAAATTTTTTATCAATCCAAACCAAAAAAAATAGGATATAGCAACACGCTTAATAAACACAACACACATGCTTTTGTCCCTGCTTTTGAAATTTTTTCAAGGGAAAGATTGACAAATGAATATTAATCTGCTAAACGTATTTTACAGTACCACTGACCTCATTTTAATAATGAGTTCAGCATATAAATGAGAACATTTATATGAAACTATAAAAACAATTGACTCTTATCAGAGCTAATACTTCTAACTCTCCTAAGCCTCAGCTTTCTGACTTGGAAAATGGCAGTAAAAATGCAATCCATCTTAAAGCATAAAATGTTACTGCATACACAAGTCCCTAGAACAGTTAATATGTCTAGATTAGCAATAACAGGAATGCTGACTGTCCTTGTCACAGTTTTCCCCATGTCCTTTCCTCCGATCTAGCTTACCTAAAGTGCTCTGCTACCCAGTGTTATGGTCAGTATCATATCTGTAGATACTGATGGTATACTGCACAATTTAACAAAAGCCCAGTATTTAGACATACTTCAGAGAATAAAGTAAGTTTTTTAAATTAACATATGTAAGGTAAGATTAGAGGGGAATGATGTGTTTTATTCAAATTCTCCCTAAATTCTAATCTATGTTAGTATAATACTGTCCCATAAGTAACTTTATCACGTCTTATTACCATTACTGGTGAAGTGAGAAAGAACTGGAAATATCAAAGAATGCCTTTGTCAAGCCATCCAGTAAGTATTCTTCAGCTTTCATCCCCTAAAATCCATAAAGAAAACCCTTCTAAAGTCTCAACAGAAACAGAAACCCCAAGAGCTAGACCTTAGTTCCTAGGTGAAATAGGAAAAAAGTGATAAAAGAGTGATTATTAATAATTAACAATTTACTTCTACAGATCAGTATTACTTTTCTTCACTTGTAAAATGAGAACACCCTACCTAAGTCAGGATGATTTGCAATATGAAATAACTGTTTGAGATATTATAGTCATCTCTTCTTTTTATATAAGAAAATAGAGTTTAAATAAACAAATTTCAAATAATCAAACCGCAATAGTTTACCTTTTGGGGCGCGAGTTAGATAACTCTGACATGGGATACTTTTTCTTCTCCTTGGTATCCGAAATACTGGGTTCTTCACTACCTCTAGATTCTTCTATTTCAAAGAAAAGGACAAATACACAGATAATTACCAAAGTGTCTTAAAATCATTGTTTCCAATCACTGATTTTCCATTTTCTTAACTACTTTGCCCTTTTAAGCCCCCGTTCTCTCAATGAAACAAACAGCCAGCTCCTCTTTGTACTGTTCCTAAACTAGGATTTACCCATTAGGTAGCACCCTGAATTTGTTATGACCCTCTTTCCCCAACAGTCATCCAGTCAAACCCCATACTGGCTGAACTTTCTTCTGTACCACGGCAGATAAGAGCTGCTAGAAAACAACACAACAACAAAACAAAACAGGTGCTGTTATAAATTTACATTTCTAAGTCTTAGCCGTGAAGCTGTGACTTCATGTCCCTTAGTAGCTCCTTCCTTATCACTGTTTGGCTCCCCTAGCTAGTCTCTAGAATAATCCACACATTGGATCGTCTGCCTGGATTCTAATTCCTTTTATTCCCAGATACTCTACTGGAATTCTCCAGTTTGGTGGAGAGATAGATGATTGGGAAAATATAAAGCAAGTATCAGCAGGTCACACTCAGAGCTAAAGCTTACCTTTGCTGAGTCCCTCCACCTTCTCACTGGCCCTGTTTCCTCCAGGTCTTGCAGCCTCATTGAGAACACTACAGTCCTTACATTCCTGGGTGAAAAGGCAGATTTCCTCAATGGCACTACTGTCAGTTTTAAGTGAACTGAAATGAATCCTGTATTATGTCGCTCTACTTTCCTAAAAGAAAACCACCTGATTCTGGAGCAATGGCAGCGAGGGAGGTGAGTAAAAATATGCAAATCAATTCAAAATTTTTGCACTAGTATCTCAAAAATGAAGACTAGCTGGTCTTCCCCTTTCCAGAAAGAATACAAATAGAAAACCTCCATTATACATGCTACCATGAGAAAAACTTATGAAGTGGGATTGACATTAGAATAAAGAATTCCCACATTACTGAAGAAATTTTTCAAACCAAGACTCCCTATTCAGGGCACAATTGGATGCCATTAACCACATCCCCCCCTCTGGAATCACCATGTCCTACAGGTGCCAAGTACAGGCCTGACAGAGCCCTCCACTTTTACCCGGAGCTATCCCTCTTGCCCTGACTTGCCCTTTTTCTCTTCCCGTGTGCTCTCACCTTGTTATAAAATGCACTACTGTATACATGCATCCAAAAAAATGTCCCAAATTAGAACTTTAAACACTGCATAAAGTCTCACTGAAAACACGGATGGAACTGGGTTACAGCCAGTAGAGCTTGTGTGGAGTATGTAGAGGACTGTGTTTAATTGTCACCATCTGCTTTTAATGGTACCAGTCTGAGCAAATTAAAAATCTAAAATGTGACACTTTCAGAGATATTTAACTTGAAGAGTTAGTTAAAGCACTTAGCGCCAAGAAACAGATGCTAAATATTTATCAAATATTGTTGGATCTTCAATAACCAGTGTAACTTTATATTGAACAGCATGCAAAATAAAATCTAAATTTTATCCACATAAAGAAATTCCTTTACATTACTCATTAAACTAAATGATTTGGTCCAGCAAGCTTATTCTTCATAGAATTCAAAGATAAACTTTCTATGAAGTTCAACCTGTATAAATTCATACAATGCTCCAACCTAAAGAAATTTAAATCAATGGCACTTCACTCCAAGTTTGGAATATCTAGATCTACTTGAAATAGTGAAATTTTTGTTGCAATAAATTCTCAGCTAGAAATCACATCTTTAGTTTCCATTTAAATCAATGCTGCAAATAAATATCCTTAAACCTTCCTATTACACAACTTAAATGTACTGCTGATATTGGAAAAACACAGGGAATCCTGCCTGACAATTGAGCATTTATCAACAGATAACTGAGACAGAAGTTGTATATGCTTGTTACCAATACTGGTAACCCCAGAACTTCAGTTTTAATAACCATAGAAAGAACAAGACATAAAGCAGCATTACACTATCCAAAGTTAGGAATTGAATCCGAGATTAAAATCTCAATAAAAGTAGAAAGAAGGAAATGCAACCAAGTATAGAAATTAATAAAATAAAATCTCAAGAAGCAAGTGACAGCCAGTGCAGGTGGCTCATGTCTATAATCCTAGGTACTCTGGAGGCAGAGATCAGGAGGATCATGATTCAAAGCCAGCCCAGGCAATTAGTTTGCAAGACCTTATCTTGAAAACACCAACACAAACCAGGGCTGGTGAATGGCTCAAGTGGAAGAGCACCTGCCTAGTAAGTGTGAGGCCCTGAGTTCAAATCCCAGTACTGCCAAGAAAAAAGAAAAAAAAAAACAAGCAGGTAAGGACACAAAATAGCATTATGAACATTTTAATGCCCACAGCACGTGGGATACATAGTAACACACCTGTACACAGATATTTACAAAATGAAGATGAAACTCCATACACAGATTTGTAACTGGTACTTTTATTTTCACTAAAAGATACCAAAGGGGCTAAGGGAGTAGTGCTAAAGAACTTTCTCAGAGCCCCTGGATTTAATCCCAGCACCTCAAAAAAAACATGGAAGTGAGTATTTTTCAAACTAAGATTTTAATATGAAATTTTATGGCCCTATCATAACTTAACTGCTACCTATCAAGAGATATTTTAAACTGTCTGCCTTCAAAATAATACTTGGGGGAAAAACTTGTACTACTACCTTTGGAAGAAATAGGTTTCTGATAACAAGTCTCTTAAAAATTACTGAGTAGGTCAAAGATTATGACACCTTTAAGATTCTTGACATAGACTACCAAATGTCTTCAAGAATGTGATTTGCTGGTGGAGTGACTCAAGTGGTAGAGCACCTGCCTAGCAAGCATGAAGCCAAGTTCAAACCCTAGTACCAAAAAAAAGTTCAACCCCAGTTTAAAAAAAAAAAAGTGCTACACTCACTCTTATAAATAGTGCCACAAACATCTTGCAAAGAGCACTAAGCACATCTCAGAAAACATTCTCTATTATCAATTTCTTGGCAATATACTTTAATGAACTTTAAAGGCTTCACAGTACAACAGACTTCACAGAAAGTGCATTTACTAATCCCTTACCTTCTTCAGGTGATTCTTTTTAGCTCTTTCAACAGGAAGAGGACTGCCATCATGGAAGTTGGTAAGAATTACTGCAATGGCTGTAAGAGTTTTACCCTTTAAAATATTTATAAAAGACAAATGGTCAAATTCTAAAACCCAGTTGATTAGAAAACACTACAATTCTAAAATAAAATAACCAAATTCTGAGTATCATCCAAAGCTACAGAAGTACATGCTCATCATATTAAATATAAATGCTAATAAAATTATTTCATTTAGCTAAGAAACGCTCTTCCTCACCCTAGTATTGGGAATTATTAAATGATTACACTACAAAATACTATAAGCATCTCTGAGAGATGTCATGTCATTGAATGACTAATGTTCTAATACTCTGCATTTAACTTTGAACTATCAATTCTACCATGAATCTATGCACTACTATGTTTGCCGTGAGACTCAGAGCAAACTTAAAAAAAAGGTCACTAACTCCAGTATGCACATGGAGAGATAAGCATCTTGTCAAAGTTAGCAAGAGCATGAAGGGCGTATTTCCTATGCATTTTCTTAAATGGAAATATGCTAATTTCTTAGTATTTTCAACAGTGGAATTCAGTTACCACTACAGAAATCAACCTCTGGCAATTTTAAAGCCGTATGAAGTAGCACTTTTCAGAGTGTGGACTTTTGGAGAATGGGAGCTCAACACTTTGTAGAACACTGACTGAGACCTTCCTTGGGTGACATCCGCACTGATGCTACAAAAAGCCAGGTGGGAAGAGTGTGGTGGCTTGGCATGAAGCGCAAATATCTGGCACCACACCACAGCCATCGAATCCTGGATGCCACGCGCTCGCTCAAAGTGAGAATGCCAGTTTCTCTTTTTGGCAGTGCTGGGGCTTGAACTCAGGGCCTTCTCTTGAGCCACTTCGCCAGCCCTATTTTTGTGAAGGGTCTTTCAAGACAGGGTCGCGCAGACTATTTGTCTGGGTTGGCTTCGTGCCTCTGAGCAGCTATCTAAGAATGTTCTTGATCAAACAGTACACGTTAGTTTTTATCTATCAAATCACACCTCTCAACTATGCATTTTTAACAAAATGGGAAAGGTGCATAAAATACTTAGTGCATATAAACGCAGATGGGTTGGCTTGAGTAAAACCCCATATACTGAGTGGCTACCCCCTCCAGTTGCTTGTCTGTGAGACACTATTTTACTTGGATGCTCACAGGTAAGTGTCTGGAACATACTTTCCTGACCGTGAACCAAGTGAGGCTGTCATCTTTAAGGGAAACGATGGAGAGTGTCTGTGGCAATAATAAAATCTGAACCTTCAATAAAAAATTAGACCGCTGCAGAACTTGTACATGACACTGTGACTACCACAGCTTCCAAAGGTGAAGTGTATTTTAGGTAAGATCAATGGTAATAACAAAGAATGTAAATTTTTCATACTGTGTCATGAAATGCATTTGACAGATCTGCATAACGTAGTGAGCCAGTATCTTCTAGGTGAGCCTGGTTACAAAACCGCACATAGGTAAAACAACTATCTGGTGTGCAAGATACACGAATGTATCTGTATGAAAAGATCACTGGCAGGACCTTAAATTCCACTTATAACTATTAACTTTTAATCAACTAATACTCAAATACCTGCTGGATTTTAGTGCAGCATTAACTAACATACTTACCAATTAGCTAAAAAGCCATTAAAATAACTCTTCCCTTCATTACTATGTATCTGTGTGAGCATAAATTTTCTTCATCTACTTTGAGCACAACATATTCACAACAGATTTAAATGAAGAAGCAGGTATGAGAATTCAGCCATTCAGTTGAAGCATCATAAAAAATGCAAAACTGTAACAATGCCACTGTTCACACCAACATTACTAGTCTTGGAATGGTTACTTTTCATTTAAAAATATGCTACTTATGTTAACAATTAGGAGTTTTGTCAACAGTTTTTATTGCTTTTAAGATACTTGTTTTAGCTCAGATGGAGTGGCTCAAGTGGTAGAGCACCTGCCTAGCAAGCCTAGCAAGTGTCAGGCCCTGAGTTCATGCCTCACTACCATCAAAAAAAAAAAAAAAGAAAGAAAATATTTGTTTTAATGTTTAATGCTATAAGTATGAACAGATACAGCTCACAAAAAAAGGAAAGCTTTAACATCAAAAAGTATAAGAACTGCTAGTGCAACGAGTCACGCTTGCCCATCAAGTACTCTAAAATGTCACAATATTTGTGACAGATACAATCTTACTTAACATTGTTTTTTTTTAATGTTGTTTTTAGCAGTGCTGGAGACTGAACTCGGGGCCTTGTGCATGCTACGCAACAAGCAAGCACTCTTCCACTGAGCTGCACCCCCACCCAGTCTTCACTTGCTTAAAGAAAGCCTATGAAAGAATTTCACAGGCTGAAACTCAAAGAACAAAGAAAATTGAAAATAAATGCTTCCAACGTTATTATTATATAACTAATTGTTCGTTAACTAAACAAAAAATTTAGTTTTTTTAAAAAAACTGTAAGAAAATGGTTTTCTACATTGAAATCTAGTTTTAAACAGGCACCTAGCTGTCAACTTCAAAATTACTTCCTACAAAAAACAATCACAAAGTAAGATTTTATTAACCTAAGAAAAAAATAATTACCAAACCCATGTCATCAGCTAAAATTCCTCCACGGACATTTTCTGGCCGGTCCTTCTCAGAAAAATTTGTTATTGTATTATAGTATAAGTCATTTCTCTCTTCCCAGAAGGGGGGCAGTTCTTTACTGTTTTCCCGTGAAATCATCCAAGCCAGAGCTTGTTTTTGATGTGGAAGCAATGGTGTTTCAATAGCCTATAAATAAAACGTCATAAAGAGAAACAAAGTCAATCCTTTCTCTTTTCACCTGCAGGACCTGAAAAACAACTGATCATGTAAGAAATGAATACTCAGTGTATATAATTTTCTCAAATTTTAAGTAAAAAAAATGGGTTAGATACCTCAGCTGGCTCCATTTCATGAGTTTTATCATCTTCTTTTAAATCTTCAAACAATTTGTCAAATTCTGTCTTAAGCTACAATAAACAGCAATAAGAAGCATCCTTGAACAGCCAATTAAGGGATAATTACACTTACTTCTGAGATTTCAAATCATGTAATTAACTAAACATGTCAAATGCCAAAAGGCACGTGAATTAAATCTTTGAGATACTACATTGCTCACAGAAGGTAGAACGAACAGGTGATTGTTATGAAAGGTAACTGTATTATTGGAAGAACACAGAAAAGAGGGTGACAAGGGGACTAGGGATGTAGCTCAGTGTTAGAGCATTTGCCTAACATGTGCAAGGACCCCCGTGCAGTCCCCACTACTGAGAAAAACAGAGTCAGAGAGAGATTTAGGTCCTGATTTTCAGTCACTCTTTCACAAATAAACCCATATACATTTCGGCAAAGTCCTATATCTCATTCCTGAAAAACAAAAAGAATCAAATAAATAAATTTAGATGGCCTCCAAGATTCTCTCTGCCATTAAAATTCTGTGAATTCTATTAGTAGTATTCAAACTATTCTGGCAGTCTACCAGGTACATCTGAATCTTTTCAAGTCAATGACATTTCATTTATTAGCAATAAGGAATTTGCTCTTTGCTACAAAATATTATGAGTTCATTATTATGCTCATTTAGCCAGCTAACGTGTAAACTGATCTAACTCAATTCTACAGCAACATATACGTGTTATAATTTTGCAGGTTAACATATGAATACACAGTAGCAACTTAGAAGACATCAGGCCAGGTGTAAAAAGTTATCAAAGGTGGGCTGGTTTGCCCACCAGACACAGATTCAAGCCTTTCTCACAATACATAGGGAAAACATGGTAACCACAACTGAAAACGAAAGAATCTCTGGTGGGTAGAGAGACATCACAAAGTTTTTGGTATTTTTTAATTGATCTTATTTTACTTACTTTTGCTCAAGCTAACTCAGCATAACAGTATCCCAGATTACAAATGAGACAAAGGAAGAATTAGAGTACCAATAAAGATGCGAGTTACATTTTTTCTTTGCATTTGCAACCTCACTGCAAGAAGTTTCAAACTTCAAAGAATTACCACTTGGACGTTTTGACTATTTCAAATAGCAAAGTGCTTCATGCCACAGTCATGCATGTTTTTCTGTGTGTAATTCTGTGTATGGACACACAGTCAGCCTTCCTTATCACAGATCCATCACTAGGCCTACAACGGTTTTGTCAGTACTGAACACAGACACATTTTTTCTTGTCCTAACTCCCTCAGCAATACACCACAGCAAGTGTTTACATAGCACTGACATTATATAGGTATGGAAAGTAATGTGAAAATGATTTCCAGCATGAGAGGATATGCACAGGTCATAGTTTATATAAGGGACGGAGGACCTTGGACCACTGCCTGTGGATAGAGGCCGACTGCACTCCTCACCACTGCTTTTTAGAAAACATCTGCAAACAAATGTGCATTCTATTATGAGACCACGTTTCATTTTCATTTTAATAATGTATCTGAAGATCACGAACACCATCACACACATATTTATTCTATTCTTTTAAAAACCAACCTTCAACATTTAAAACTCACTTTCAGATTACAGTACAAAACAAGAGAAGTGCACCTGCTCAGCTGTCATCTGTACTGCAGGGTGAACTGGCACACTATAGCTGGGGCCAGCTCTCCCAGAGCTCCAACCACTCTCCAAACTGAATCCTACAGCTGTAATTCACAAAGGAAAAGAATAGCATCATTAAGTGAAATACAAAGAAAGAAAACCTTTTTATTCCCTACTGGGAGATTCTTTTTTCTAAGTAATACTTAAATTGGGGATGTCCAGGTGTTACCACTGGGCAAAATTAAGGGAGGGCCATGGACATCCTTGTGTATGTGTGTATGAGAGTCTATAGTTAGAGTCATGCCTGAGTGTTTATACATTTCCAACAATGACAGACCCAATACATGAGGGTGGTCCTGTACAATCAAACCTAGTAACGTCATCGCCCTCTTATTTTGTGAGTACACTGTGAGATGTTTGCATAATGACAAAATCATAAATGATGCATTTCTCAGAACTGTCCCCATTCTTAGGTAATGCATAACTATATTCAAAAAGAAAAATCAAAGATTTCCTCAGAAGATTCCAAAAAAAGTTGCAACTCGGAGCCTTCAGAACAAATTAAGTTTGGCCAACCAAGCTCAAAGAGAGAGTAAATGTCTCGCAACCACCATATCTTATACCACCAAAATGGTATTACGTTAAACGCTAAACTTACTTTTTGGTGCAGGACCCAATTTAAATCCATGTTTCTTCAGTTGATCTAAAACTGCTTTTCTATTTTCTTCTTTTCCCCAAAAAGTCATATGCAGAGGCATGGTAAAAGCATTGTTTGCACCAAAAGGAACTACCCTATTGTAGTTCAGAGAAAAAAAGAGAAATTAGGAGTTACTTTTTATCAAAATTAAGAATCTGTTGTATGCTGCAAGAGTGTCATCCAAATGCTGCAGGAAGACTGAAAAGGACAGGAAACAGTTTGTCAACCACAGAAAGGAGCGGGTATTTTAGAAGGGAATGCCTCAGAAACTGAGTCTAAGAGGGGATCAAGCAGTTCTACACTACGAGGCTGTCAAGTAAACAAGAGGGCATTTCCTGGGGAAGAGTGGAGCTCTGGCCAAGAACCACTGCAGAGAGCGGCTCACACGCTCACTCTGCTGGGGGAACAGGGAACTCTAACCCAGCATCCACTAAACACGTATTCTCAGCACCTCCAAAAACATGACTGAGAAAGGTGAAAGGTGAAAACAGTGAGACACCACTGGGCATTTTATCTTCCCAACTCACCTGGGATTACGTAACCTGGGTTATGATTATCCCAAGTAGGACTGGGGCAGGAATATCCCAAATACTTAACCTGAGACCACAAAACACAAAGGCCTAAGAGAGAAAAGGTGAGTAGGAGGAGGAGCATGAAAACCGAGAAGGGAGAACTAGAAGACTGTAGGCTAAGGCAGCTGTTTCTCTGCAGTCCAGCAAACCAAGCTCCCATGGAAGAGAGGTCCAGCACTGCTGGACCTCCGTAGCAAGTTAGTTTTATGTTTAGGGAAAATTAATTATGTAGAAAATACAGAATTTCTACATTTGGACACTGGAAATGAAAAAAAAAATTCCAAAACACTGCAAATCTGATCACAGGCTACCAGTTTTACCACCTCTGATTTAAGCAAACACTTCCCAAATTTATGCATCAAATTGCTTGAAGAATGGAGCACACTCCTAATATGTGAACCCAAGTCTATTTTTCTCCACGATAGTAATTCAATAGGAAAGTGAGAGGACAGCTGATTGATGCCTGGACAGTAGAGGCAGGTAAGAGAACTGAACACATAACTGAAGGCAGTCATGAAAGATGCTCTATGAAGAAATCCTAACCAGTTAAGTTCAAAGACAACTGAACTCTCAACATGCATTACCCTTCCACTTGTGCCAATTTGTTGTCCATGATGGAGGCCAAAGCAGCTGCAAGGTCTTTCTTTAAATGGCCAACCTGATTTCCGTTCACATTGTTCACTTTAATCGCATTCTTATCATAGGGGTTGTTAGGCTCTCGTTGTAATGCAACCATTTCATTATTATTAACCTAGGAGAATAACAAACAGAGTTACATTATAAATACAAGCAGAAAACAGCTTGACTTTATACTTCATCTGAGATTTCTATTCACTTTTTATTGCTACAGCTAAACATTACATGTGAGAAAAATGTATTTGCTTGGACACAAACTAGAAATAGACTCATTCCCAAAGAACTATTTGACCCATGTACTGGTTCCCTAAGACCCAACTGCAAGGCTGGCTGTATTTGACCTCTGAGCTCCCCTATGTAGAGAGAGCTCCCTTGCACAAGTGTTCATCAAAAACCAGTGTTTCACCTTCATTGCTGCCTGTCACAGTGGATTAACAGTTGGACAAACAGCCTAACCAAATACTAACAGGTCTCTAAGCTCCAATGTATTTCTAGAAATCAAAAAGACCATATGCAAGCATAGAGCTGTGTTCTCTCTCAGGGAAGATCTGAGAAGGTCCAAAGCTCACAACTCTGTCTGAACTTGAAGCATTTAATGAACAGGAAGTAAAAGCTAAGGCAGAACTGCTAACTGCCTTGAAAGTATTACAGGAGTGCTCCAATGCACACACAGCCTCTTGGCAAAGACTGGAGAATCTGCTGGTGCAGGTAAAATCATTACCTGACCACTAAGCCAACAAGTACAGATGTCAGTGACCACATACAATAAAGAACAGACTTCACACAATAAACTCAGAAAACTCACAAACTAACAATATTACCCAAGTTGGCAACAACACACAACCCTGGGAAGAGAAGACAATCTGATTTTAAGACTTGTGAAGGTCCATTTTTCATGGGGAAAAAAAGTACAACACATGCAAAGAAAGAGAAAGCATGGTCCATGCATATGGGAAAAATAAATCTTTCCATCCCTAAGGACAGGATCACCCACTGATGCTCAATACACTAGGAAAAGAATTGAAGTCAGCTATTTTAAATATTCTCAACATCTATATGTGCAATCCATTTCTTTAGAACAATGTCTCAACAATTCTAAAGTCAAAAAGGACAACTAAATGAATTTCCACTGGCTGGGCTCTGCAGGAGATTTAAGCAGGTAAAAGAAACAATCCTAGAAGTTTAAGATCAACTAGGATTGTGTAATTTGAGGAACAGAAAGAAAAAAGAATGAAAACACAGGGAGCTCTGGGTCAACGTCAAGCATCCAAAACATAACCAGAGTGCCAGGAACAGAGGAGAGGGGGAAAAGAATACTGCTAGAAGTAATGCCAGAAACTTCCCAAATGTAACCAGCAAGTCTAAGCAGCTCAAGAAACTCAAGGGGACCCATACCTGGACACCGTCCAAAAAGAATCTTGAAAGCCACAAGAGAGAAGCAATTCATCACATACAAAGGATCCTTATTGAGATTCATGTCTAAATACCCATCAGAAATCATGGAGGCCAAGTGTGCAAAGTAAATTAAAAAAAACCCAACCAAGAATTCTGTAATTAGCAAAACTACCCTTTAAAAATGAAAGAGAAATTAAGATGTTCTGAGAGAGAGAAAACCTGAGAGTCCATAACTAGCAGACCTCATCTGGAAGAAATACTAACAGAAGTTTTTCAGACACATTAAAAATACTAGACAGTAACTTGAATCCACATGAAGCTATTTAGGACACAGGTCAGGTGACTCATGCCTGTAATCCTAGCTACTCAGGAGGCAGAGATTAGGAGGATCACAGTTCGGAGTCAGCCAGGGCAAACAGTTCAGGAGACCCTACCTCAAAAAAACCCAACACAAAAAGGGCTGGTAGAGTAGCTCAAGATGTAGACCCTTAGTTCAAACCCCAGTATTGCCAAAAAAAAAAAAAAAAAAAGAAAGAAAGAAAAAGAGCCCCATAAAAGGCAATTACAAGCAATAAGTACAAAAATAATATGTATTTTTGTTTGAATTTTTTTCTACCTGACTTAAAAGTACGTAAAATAATCATAAATATGTATTGATGGGCACACAAATACATAAAGATATAATTTTAGGTGCAGTGGCTCTTGCCAGTAACCCAAGCTACGCAGGAAGCAGAGATCAGGAGGATCACAGTTCCAGGGTATAGAGTATATTGCAAGTAAACTGGGCATAGTGGTGTGTACCTGTAATTCCAGCACCTGGAGGCTTAAGTAGGAAAATCAAGGTCAGGGGCTGGCCCAGACAAAAAACATGAAACCCCATCTGAAAAACAACTAAAGCCAAAAAAGGCTTGGGCAGGGGGGCATGGTTCAAGTGGTGAAGTACCTATCTAGCAAGTACAAGGCCCTGAGTCTGACTCCTGAGTTCAAACCCCAGTGCCTAAAAAAACCCTGTAATTTGTATCATAAATCACAAAGGAGGGGAGGGCATAAGTATCTAGGAGCAACGCTTTTCATGAAATTAAGATATCAGTAATCCAAACTAGAGTCTTGTAAATAAAGATGCTAATTGTAAGCCTAAAGCAACCACTAAGAAAATAACTCAAAATGTACTTATATTTAAAAAAAGAAACAAGGGAACTCAAACAATGCACCAGACAATTCAGTTAAACACAAAGGCCACAATGGAGGTCAGACGCAAGGGTCACACTGTATGAAACGTCTACCAGGTGAATCCAGACAGGAAAGAGCTGGGGGCACAGCACAGGATGGTGTGTTTGCCTGGCTCACGTGAAGTCCTCAACTGAATCCTGAGTACCACAGGCCGGCCAGGCATAAAAATGAGGCCTATTCAAAAAATAACCTAAGGCAAAAAGAGCTGAGGGTTTGGTCAAGTGGTAGAGTGCTTGCCTAGCAAGCCTGAGGTCCTGAGTTCAATCTCTAGTATTGCTGGGAAAAAATACAAACACATAACAAAGAATAAAAATAAAATTATACCCATAAACATAGTTAAAATATTTTTGAGTATAAATGATTACTATGCGCAACTCTGAGGATAAAATTTTGAAAGTCTAAGAAAATGGATGTCTCTTTAAAAACATAAATAACCGAAAGCGATCCAAGTAGAACCTTGGCTGCACTGACTGAAAGAAGCCAGAGATTGAAATGGCTCTTGCCTAAGATCCAATGAGCAGAGCCAGGGTAATCTACAGTTCCAGTTCAGACTGGCAGAAGCAGAAGAAATGGTGCCACCAAGATACAAGACAACTATCAGGTAACGGAGATGACCCGGATCCTGAATGGAGTGGTGGTCACCAGGCATGTAGGACTCCTACATTAAAATATGCTCATCGTATTATATAGAAGTCACATCTCAATAAAGGTGAAAAAGTTAAAGAGGCAAAAATAAAGACCTTGATTCCTACAATGTTGTTTTTCAGAACAGGGATCAACTCCAAAATGTTAGTCAATAACAAAACTGAAATGGTAACGTAGACTTGTGCCATACTTGTAACAAAGCTGAAATGATAAGGAATACTCGTGCTGACATGTATGTGGAGGTTTGCTAAGAGAAAAACGGTGACCCCAACAGACTTACAGTGATATCTCACTCTTGTTAATATGATTCCAATTTGCATGCATATGTTTACAGAAAAAAACATAAAAGATATTAAACCAGTTATAGTAGACTTCAGGAAGATTTAATGCTTTCAAGTTATTTTAAAATAATGAACATATATTGTTTACAAGTAATACATATTCTGAAAAGTAAAAAAAACTCAGTGATGATTACTTTTAACCAGCACACACTTATTAGCTCACTAGATGACACAGATATTATTCTAAGACTGACAGACATTGTTATAAGAATAGTACTTCACAGAGGTATAAGACAATTTAGAGAACAATGTAAGTTTTGAAAAATCTAAAATACAAACCTAAAATACGAAAACTCAGAACCGTATATGACAATATGCAGATCTCGAGTAAGAGCTAAGATTTCTAAAAGAACTAGCAAAAAAGAAAAGCTATTTCAAAATTAAAGTAAAAAGAACACAAGAGTGAATGGACCTCGGGAAGAGCATGGTAAGGGAAAAAAATAATGAAAACCAGAAAAGTACAAAATTATGGTAAGGACTTCAGAGTAGTAAGCATATACAGACAAAGCAGGTGGGGGAGGGGAGGGGGAGAGTAGAGAGAGGAAGGGAAAGGAGGAAAGGGAAGGAAGGGAGGAGAAGGACAAAGAAAATATGGAGCTCCTAAAAAGAAAAATGAGTTTTGAAACAAAGCAAGCACTTTAAAACTGTAATTACTGAAATAGAAGAAAACAAATTTACAGAACAAGACATACCTAATCAAACTACTAGGCTTTCAAAATAAGGAAACTATTTTTTAATCATCCAAGCAAATAAATTTCTGATTCACTTAAGTGGGAAAAAAAAAATCATATGGACATCAGAATTCTCACCAACATCATCTTATGCAACACTAGAGGACACAGAGCGAAAATACAGGTCAAGGATTTTATATTCAGCCAAACTCTCCTTCAACTACAAAGCACCAACACTATGAACATACAAAAACTCAGGAAATAATTGTTCTTTCCTAGGTAACCTTCTAGACAACACATTTCAGACAATTACCAAGCAATTTGAGAAATTACAATGTAAAGAAATTATAGAGAATGAAGACTGGAAAAGTGCAGAATGTGGAACTTTTCCCCAAGGACTGCAGAGTGAACTTCAAAAAAAGAAAAATGATTTGACAAGCTTCAACATAAGAAAGATACGAGGAAAGGAGAGAACAGATCCACAAGAATTCAGACAAAACAGACCTGGTTTTTGCCACAGATCAATGGCATGGAGTGAAGTACCCGTAAAAATGTATGAACCTCGTTTTGATCCTTGTGCAAAAAAAGACTTCTGAAAGACAGTTGTAAATAATCAAAAGAAGTAAACTACGGGTCACTTATTACAGGTGACAGGTGACAAGGAATTACTGAGTATGCAATTGAGATGCAAGTATGTTTTTAGAAATACATACTGAAGTACATTACTGTGAAACAATACATTTGAAATTTCCTTTTAAATCTGTGAAGCAAATGTGGAAAAAACTTAACTGTTGAATCTGGATTACACATATAATGGAAGTTTATTATACTATTCACTCTACTTTTATGCGTGTTTGAAATTTTCCATAATAAATTACATAAAATTAGAAGTATATTATCCAAATAGCACAGAGGCATCCTAGATGACCAATACAAAGATAACTACTGACCAGAGAAAGTTAAACCCTTTTCTTTCTGTCACATATACACACAAACAATTCAGAGACTAGAGATGCAGAATAAGAGACAGAGGAAGAAAAGGTGGAACACAGTCTTATTAAAAAAAGGTAAAAAGAGCTAAAAGTAAACAATTCCCGTATCTAGGAAAAGCTAACGTGTTCAAATTAAAAACATTAAATACAGAGCCAGGAGTCAGAGAGAGAGAGAGATCAATTACAGAAATGAGCTCAGAAGCAGAAGAGAAAGTCATCTCCTGAATTCCCCTTGCAATACATGGGCATTGTGGCAAATCCTTTAACCCCACAAGGGATATGATAGCAGACATCCTCTCTTCCACGATTATTGTAGGGATTGAATGGCAGTGCAGGCAGAAGTGCTCTGTGTGTTACAAGCATGATGCAAACACAAAAGGTTAGTCAAGCAGGTGCTCAGCTCTTGCCTACGCATACTTCAGTCGCTTCGGGTGACCTAAGTGTCCAGCTGCAGATTACCTTCTGACATCTTGTTCTTTAGGTCAGCCTCATTTCACTGTTCCCTCTTCTGTACTCACCACTCCTGTGTAATAACGCAGTCCAACCACGTGCCCTCTCAAAGTTCCAAACAGGACAGAGTCTAGCTCTTCATCACTAGTTAGGAAGTCGTCTGGTGGGATGACATCTTGGAATTCAAAACGTGGGAAGAAAGTTGGATATGAGAGGCGTGGAAAATTTCCGTGGACTCCATACTGGACAGTCTGCAAGTACTTCCAAACAGGATCCCTATTTTAAAAAAAGAAAAAGAAAAAGAGAGAAAGAAAGAGGCACAGAAAAACTACAGTATTTAAGCAAGTATGTCTCGAACACCATAGGCCAGGAGTAATTCTAGGCCAATCGTCCCTCGCACTGTGGACATCGTGGTAAATAGATGGATGGCTGCTGTAGCTGAAACAGGAATTCAATGCCCTGAACGGGGCAGGCTTCCAGGAGCCCTTCCTATTCAATACTGGCTCTTCTCCGCCCCATGCAAAATGAAAAGCCCTGAAAAGGTCACAGCCTCTTTCCTAGGGAAATTCATCCATTTCTCATGCGTCCTGTGTGACGTCTGTCACATGCCAAGATATGAATGGCGATGGATCCAGCAGTCTCCAAAGCTGCTCTTGCCGCTTCAGACCACACACCCAGCATCCATCCATCCATCCATCCCTGGATTCCCTCAACAGAAAGAACACCTTGGATTTAGGTGTCCAGGCTATGACGTCATGGGAAGCCGACCTCAAGCCCCCCCTGTCCGCTCCCCACCCTGGTGGCCGCGGGTCACCCGATCCCATTAAGGATGATTGGCTCCAGGAAGGGGCATGAGGAAAAGCCACCGCGGGCGACGAAAACCAGACGTCTGCGGGAAGTTTCCATTCTCCCCGGGTCGCAACGCTGCCCTGCGATCGCGCACCGCTGAGCTCGTCTGCAAATGTGCACTTGCACGCCCATGCATGCACGTGAACGGCCAGTCCTCGGGGGCAGGGCTGTCCTGCGGGGCGACCCCGGGGCGGCTAATGGACGTTTTGCGGCATATGCACGGGGAGCCCTCGGCGGACCCCAGCGTCCGTGACAAGAGACCAATCCAGGCCCCGGCACGGGCTCGCCGGCCAAGACAATGCGTCCAATCCTCCCGAGGCCACAGGGGCCGCCGGCACAGGGGACACCGGCTGCACACAGCGCCCGGGGGAAACGCGCGGAAGGTCAGGTTCACTCGGGGACGCCGCCAGGCCGGGAGCCCAGGCCCCACCCCCTCCGCCCCCTTCACCTCTTGAACATCCAGGACATGGCGCGAGAGGGATGACGACAGGCTGGCCCCGGCGCCCGGGATCCTCCTACGCCGCCTTGGTAAGCCTCCCTCCAGGCCTCAAGCCACGGACGGGATCCCAACGCCGGAGCAAAAGCGCCCGACTGAAGAGTAAGACGCCGCGCGTCTACCCAGACGTCGACGCCGTCTCCTTCTAGCCACAAGCCCAAAGACCAGCGACGCTCTGTGATTGGCACGCGCGTCCTCCAATCACGAGGAGCAGACCGTGGACCTCACCCAATCAACGCGCAGAAAGGAGGGGCAACTCCGCCCCGCGCTGCGATTCAAAGACGGCGGGGGGTCCGGGCTGCCAGGGCGTTACCATCCGGGTTCTTCCCCGCCCCCAAGGCAGCGCGCGGGAAAGCCACGCGGCCCCGGAGTGCTACTGCGGTGAGCACGGGGCTGGCGGCATCTGTGCGGTTTTCTGTCTTAACGGGAATGGAAGCGCCGTCTCTGACATTTCCCCCGAAGCCCCCATCCTTCGGGCCCTCCTCTGTGGCCTGAGCTCCGCCCTTCAAGAGAGCCGTTGTTAATGACACACCTGCCTTCCGCCCCTGTGGTCCCCCGGGGGACGCACGCTTCCTTTTGTCATTTTCAGCCTGGGCCTCTGAGACATCATTCAGACATCTTTATGGGAACTTACGCATTTCCCCTCTCACCTCATTTTGGTGTTGATCTCAAGGAAACTTTGAAAGCCTTGATGCAGGACAGGGCCCCCCGTGGTTGGCCAATGCTGAGCCAGGCGGCAGGACGGCGTGGGCACGTGGCCCAGGTCGGGGCGCCCCTGTCGTAGAAGTGGGCTTTGGGGTCATGGCCCTGCTGCAGCCTTCTGTCCTATTCATGTGACAATTACTGACAGCTGCTTTCCTCCAATGGCACAGCAGAGAAGTGGTCACAGCCGTCTTCAAGAGGCATTTGTGATGTTGTCATCGGTCCTTCCTTGATCCCAAGGTGAGAGTGGCAGGAGAGGGTGGCTCAGAGCAAAGGACAACAGATACAAAATGGAGGCAGAGATGCCAAGCTTTTCTCCAGTTTTTAGTTAATTTGTGCGCCCAAGTAAGAAATCAGTGCTTTTCAGCAAAAGCTGCTGAAGCACCTCTTACAATGTTTGCTAAGCTAGCAGTGGAGTGAGAGAATTGGCAGAATTTGTGGGCGAGTGCAGTGGTGCTGGGGATGGAACCCAAGGACCTCAGGCACAGGAAGCAGGTGCTCTGCCACTGAGCTGCATCCCGGCCCCCTGTGATAGAATGTAAGGCAATTTATTACTTCTTGTCACCAGACAGAAGGAAGTTAATGAAGGCAATCACAAACAGCATTCCAAATTATTTCAGTTGTTGCACTTTCCTCTCGAAGTCTTGGGAGGCACATGGCAATGCAGTGGAATTGTTTGGGGTGCAGGTTCTAAATATTCTTGGAAAATAGGCCCAGGACTGCCCAGATTGATAGGGCTTCGTGTGTAAAATTAATCTAGCTATACTCATTCAACTAAAAGATAAAATTCCAAACGTGAGAACTCTTTCAAGACTAAAGATCTTCAGTGATGGCTGCCCCGTGGCTAAAGAATTCGGCATATGGAAGAAAATGTGCTATTTCAAGTCAAGACTTTGCTCAGTGGTTTGCATCTCAGAACTACCAGCCTGAACTTGAGTAGTCTTTCAATCACTCGTTGTTCTCTCTGCTTTAAAAAAATCAAGTGCAATTTATACTTGTTTGATTAAAATGTTACACCATTATCATACTAGACAATGTATCCTGAAAACAGGAACATTTGTAACTGCAAAGGGGCTTTGTGCCCTTGGATGGATAGGGATGTGGGGAAGGCAATGACCAGATTTCACAGGAATTGATGATCTATGGTAAAGTTAGGGTTTCCTTTGAACTGTGATGGATAGGCTTTGAATGGTTGAAGCAGGAAAATGACGATCTGATTTAGGCTTTTAAAAAATTCATTCTGGCAGCTGTGTGGAGATTGGATTATATGGAATAAAAATAGAAGCAACTAATAAGTTGGAAAATATTGTGCCCAGGTAGGAAATTATGGTGACTTGGAACCAGAACCATTAGTTTACAGGAAGATTTGGGTGTGAGTGATAAGGAAGGGGAAGTCACCACCTCCTAGTCTTACACATTTTCTCCTGTGCCCCACCCTCTGTGCAAATCATCACATCCCACCCTTCCTTGATTCTGTGAGCATGAACGCCAAGAAGCCAAGAATGACCTGTTCTGTTCTGTTCTGCTCTATTGTTTGTCCCCTTCTTCCCATTCCACTGTTTTCCAATGCACCCTCAGTATAATGGCTTCACTAAGTTCTCTAAAAACTGTGGATATTTGCATGTATAACTGAAAGGCTTGGAAAAATTAAGAAAGCAATCCTTCAAGGAAAAAAACCCCAGGGCTTCACTCTTGCAAAGCAGACACTACCAATTAAGCCATACTTCCAGTCCATTTTGCTCAGTTATTTTGGAGACAGGGATCTAATGAACTATTTACCTGGAGATCCTCCCAATCTCAGCCTCCCAAGTAGCTGGGATTACAAGCATGAGTCACTGATGCCCAGTTTAAGTTACTTTAAGTCTTAAAATGACTGAACTACCCAGAGCAACTAAATTATCTCCCATTGGGCAGACTGAGGCTTCTTAAGACGAATTAAGTTCAGTAAAGAAATACCAAGTGTCACCTTTGCAGCTGGAGTGACAAATCCATCCATACTGTACTTCACTTGTACCCACATCTCCGTGAACTTACACCAACTTTTTACAGGCAATCCCTCCCTCCGGCCAGCTGAATGAGGACATTTTCATTCTCTTCTTTGTGTTTACTTGTGTATACAAGGTACTCCATTTTGACACTTATTTTTTTTGTCATAAAGTAAAATAAGATATGAGAAATTATAATAAATTATGGGGGCTGATGAAATGGCTCAAGTGGTAGAGCGCCTGCCTAGCAAACGTGAGGCCATGAGTTCAAACCCCAGTACTGCCCCCCACCAAAAAAAAAAAAAAACTCAAAGAAAAAATTATGGACGATTTCAACTGTTGAAAACTCATTTTAGACTTACAGAAAACTTACAAAATTGCCACAAACTTTTTCCTAAGTGTCCATTTCTTCCACGTGTTTTAACACTACACAGAGCCATAGTTCATTCAATGTTGGAAACCAGGAAATGAGATCAGTACAGGACTACTTCTAAATCTTTTTAAAAATAGCCAAAGAAGACAAGGCAAAGGAAATGAGAGAAAAAAAAATCTCGGCTGATTTAGTTATTTACAACAGAATTTTCTTACATTTCATCCGGCCCCTGCAGATTCTGAGGCAAAACTGTAGGTAAGCCAGAGCTGACAGGGCAGAAAAGTGATGTAAAATTAAATAAAGGAATGGATGTCAATGCCTGCCCTGAGGTAAACAATAAATACCCTTGCCCTCCTTACTGTTACTTTTGTAAAGTTATTGTTTAATGGGTCCTTCACCTCTGGGCTGATCGAGACCTATTTCCTGAGGCTCCATCTGCAAGGTTGTTCCCAAACACCAGAACAAGTTTCCAGAAGCCAGTCATTCTCCCAGGTGCATGTCCTTGAAGCTGACTGAATTGTTTCAAATTGAGGGCAGAAGAGTTCCAATGTCAACTCCTACCCAGAGAAACACAGGGCTGCAGCTCAGGGCGTTTTCCCAGAAGCTAATCACTTCCTCCTCCTCTAGGCCTTGGCCTACTAACTGCTTTGCAGGCTAAGCACTCCAAGCCCCAACTCCTATGTCAGGCCTGCCTGGGACCTGCCTCAAGAAGCACCTCTCCAATCTAGTTGTGTATTTAGGTCTAAATGGGATGATTTCAGTTTCCTGTCAGGGCCACACCAAAGTCATCTTTTTATTTTAATGAATACTGCCAAAGATTGGAGAAGATTTTTTTGACCTCTTTTATGGGTAGAAAATTAAAGGACTAAAACTTCAACTCTGCATGCATTTTTGATATAATAAAAACACTGAATTTTTAATTCAGGAAACTATTGTATTAGTAAATCAGGGCTTTTAATCATCACAATTCCCCCAAGCTAATGCATCCTACAGTCCTACAAATGCTAAAAGTTTAGCTTGCCATTTCAACTACTCTGACAAAGCTTCAAAAAACTGCAAAAAATAAATAAAATTTAAAAACGTGTTTCTCAAATTTAAAGAAAAAAGAACATTCCACTAGCGTTTTAGAGGAACTTAATCTCCTGATTTTAATAGAATTAGAAATAGCAGGAAACTCGAGTTCATAAACAAATGAAGTTTTAGAGTTACATTAATATTCTGTTGCCTTCTTTGAGTAATACATGGTAATCAGTGATTAATTTGCAATGTAATTAGCAAATACATATTAATTCAATTAATCAAAATGCTAATTTTGTAACATAAAATATCCATTTCTTGGATGTTGTTAGGTAAGTGTTGGAGTAAAAAGTTTTATGTAACCAAGATAAACATTAAAGCACTGGTGAGACAGGTGAACATACTACAGCAACCTGGCTGTCAAATCCACAAAATTCGGATTGCCAGGAAATATCCATAGTTGGCTAAACAAGGAAATTTGTGGAAAAGATAATCAAAAGAAAGACACTATATTTTTACTCATAAAATTAGCATAGATTTTTAAGATGAGAAACACAGCTAGCCTGTTATTGTAAGGAAATTTCTGCTACCCAGTCACAGAGAAGTACCCATTCTGAATAGAATGGGTAGACTGTTCATTTTCAGTAGGATGTCTTGTGAGAGACCACAGAAACAGACGTCGAAACCAGAAGCAGAAAGCCCCGCAGTTCTGTATCAGCGACCACGGAATCACAGTGGCCAATGGCTGTTTCCCTAAACCCTAAGGCCTGCCTGGCATGCTTTTTCTTGAGGCTAACTAGCTGAGGGGCTAGGTGGTCACTGCCTGCCCCAGGGGCCCCCTGAAATCATTGCTGCCATTAGCAAAAGACCACCCTTAATGGAACTTTCTTTTGGAAACAAAGCAAAATGCAAACAAAACAAAATCCTAAAGAAAACTAAAGATGTCAGAGCAGGTTTTACCCCCTCACAGTTGACCTAAAACCTCAGCATATCTGTTGGCCTTCCCCACCTCCTTTCACACTGCCCAGTGTATCAATCCAAGGCTCCCATGAAATGCTACTGTG